CGGAGGTAGTAAGAAGTGAGCTGGCTCTTACAAAATAGTGGCTGTCACCTAGCTTTACTGTCACAGAGCATATGTGGCACATGGTGCCATTTGGTGGCAGCTTCTCCAAGGAAGGACTTCCTGTGGTTCAAATACCACAGCTGCCAATGGCTTGGTTTCACTGCTTGAACCAGAAAGGCAAGCATGGGCAAACAAGGCAGTTGGCAGGACCTGGCTTCTGGGCCGCCAAGGACGACTAGCGCCTGGGACTCTTCTTAGGATATAGGTGACCCTCTATGGCCAGTGTCACCCTCTGGCTGATGGAGAAGTTGGAGCCAAGGGTCCAGGTAAGGGCTGTGGTTTCTTTCAGACTGTTACCTTTCTGGGTCACGGTGAGCCCACAGGCCTATTCACAGCACAGGGAATTGTGGGAAGGCAGGAGGGCAACCCCAGCTTTCCAGGTGATGCTTTTACTTCAGCAGTGCCTTTGCAGGAAGGGAGGAAGGACTAGCAGCTACCAGCTCCAGAGCTTAGGGACAGGTCCAAGAGAAAACGGGACTCTGTTGACTTCGGTGAAGGTCAGACCCACTTGGTAGGAGTGTCACCTCTGATCTAGGAGACCCCGAGCCAGACCCAGTGGCTGAAGAGGCCCCCGGAACAGAGGTGAGTGTCCTAGGCCAACCCTGACTGCCAACCCCGCTGTCCCACAGGTTCACGGCCGAGGCCTGGAGGCGCCGGCAGCCCTTCACCTACCTGCCATTTGGAGCCGGTCCCCGGAGCTGCCTCGGGGTGCGGCTGGGGCTGCTGGAGGTCAAGCTGACGCTGCTCCACCTCCTGCGCAAGTTCCGGTTTGAAGCTTGCCCTGAGACTCAGGTGAGCCCCCTGCAGGTGAGCCTGGCTGCTCCGGGCTCAGGGGTGCTCACTCAGTCCTCTGCACTGCAGTTGGCTTCTTGTTACTATTACTATAGTTGTTGTTATTGTCATCATCTGTGCAGCAGGGGTGGGATATATGATGCTCTAGCTCTTCCCTCTCTGGCAAAGAAAACCCAGTGATCCTGCAAAGTAGATTTTATTATTCCCATTCTTCAGATGAGGAGCTAAAATACGGCTCAGAGAGGTAAGTGACACCCTGAGGTCACCCAGCTGGACTGCAGTCTTCGTGAGGACAGGGAGCAGAAGTCTGTCATATTTGTTGTTGGATGCCTCGGCACCCAGCTTCATGCCAGGCACATGGCAGGTGCTCATTCACGCATCCCTCAAACGTTACTGAGCAAATGAATGACTAGCCAGAGAGGAGAAACTGGAGCTCCAACCAGATCTTGCTCACTCCCACGCTCTCCCTCTCCTCCACGTGCAGCAGCCTCTCTGCACAGGGTTAGCTGTTCCCCACCGCCAGCACATGCTCTCCTCTGTGCCTGGAACTCCTCTGCACAGCTGGAGACTGGACCAGAGGGCATAAGGGACAGATAAGGACACAGTGACAGGTGATGACAACTTCAAGATCCGGAGAGTGGCACTGCCCCACACCCCAAACAGACAGGGAGACTGGGGCAAGCTGTGGGACCAGGTGGAATGATGAATTCAGTTGGAGTACAAAAAGTTCAGGCACCTGATGTGAAAACGTCTACCAAGTTCTTCTGAGAGTCAAGACTGGAGAGAGGAGGGACAAACGGGGGGGCACAGAGTGAAACCGAGAGGTGAGAGAGCAGAGAAAGCAGGTCCTAACTGCCCATGTGTGTCTCCATTACCCTTGATCTTGACATATAGTGCAGCACCCTGACCGATGTCCCAAACTGCTGCTTACACCTGGCACTCCCCAGCTCAAGAACCAGCCACGGGCCCAGAGCCTGCTGGGTCCAGGGAGAACTCGCCTGAGCCCATTTTATAATACATCCCCCACCCCAGCTTTCCTCTCTGAGAGGGTTCCCCCTGCTCGGGCTGCCGCCCTGCCCTGGAAATGTCATCTCTTCCACTTCCCACCCCCAGTCTAACCCCATCCTCCGCATCCCTTGGCATTGCCTCAAATCCCAAAGTGGCCCCTGAGAAGCTCTGCTCACGTGATTTGTCCCATTCCCAGCCCCACTTCAGGTGTCACTTCCTCCAGGAAGCCCTATCTGTTAGCTAACACCAACTGCCCTCTCTTTTTTTGAAGTCCAATGGTGTTTCAAGTTTGTCTAGACCTGCGCTAATATGGAAGCTGCTAGCCACACATGGCTATTTTAAACAATAAAATCAAATAAAGAACTCAGCCCCTCTTTTGCACTAGTTACGTTTCAAGCACTCAATGCCACATAATGCTAGAGGCTACCATATGAAATAGCACAGGTCTACGCCATCTGGTTTCTTGGTCGTAAAACTGGCCTCCCAACTGAACTATAACCTCAAAGTCCTGGTGATTGATTCTTCTTTTCCTCAAAAGGGTTCACATTAGCCACCATTTTACACACGGCTCAAGGGGATACCCTGCTCCTTGAGTACTTCTTTGGCTTTTCTTCCAAGACCTCAGTCCACCATTGATTTGCCTTGTCAGTTAGACATAAGGAAAGCTCTCTGAGTAGCAGCAAGGCCAGGCCACAGCATGTGGGAGCAGGGAGCAGCATGAGGCCATTCCCCACAGCCCCTCAGAGAGGGGGCTGCGCAGTTCCTGGCTGGGCAGGGGGAGGGGGATGGAGAGATGAAGTTTGAGGCTTTGCTTGCCACTTTCTAGTCATGTGACCTTGAGCAAGTCACTTGTCCTCTCTGAAGCTCCAGCTCTCAATTTGCAAAGTGAGCCACTACCACCTCTTATGCAGGGTTCTTGGGAGAATAAACAGAAAACCAAGCGTCCTTCTCTAAGTGTCCTCCTCTTCTGGAGGGATTATTAACACAGGAAGGGGGAAGTGCTCCAGGGCTGCTGGGGCCCCAGGGCCCTGTGCTGGAGAGGCAGCTCGGTGGGCTCCGCAGGGTCCTGCCGTGGAAGCTGTTTTGCTCACTCCTGGCCCAGCTGTTCCTCAGTCCTCAGCCCAGTTTCCACAACCCTGCGTCGGGCCCAGTTCCCAGGAAGTTTTCCTGCAGATGTGGTTAACTGTTGACGAATACTTTAACCCCCTCTATTTTAGGTTCCACTGCAACTAGAATCCAAATCTGCCCTAAGTCCAAAAAATGGCGTCTACATCAAGATTGTCTCCCGCTGACACAATCCATTACAAGGATGTCTTCTAATTCAAAGAAAACCCTCGTGGAAATTCAGATTGGGAGGTGGGGGGAACATCGCCTAAATGAAAGAGTGCCTGGGCATACAAGTATAAAAAAAAAGGTCATTTACGTAACATTTCCTAAATGCTTAATAAATGTTTGTCACACTTTTGACTTTGCCAATGATGTTTGAGCAACTGACCCGCCTCTCTCAATAAGGAATTGGTGATAAATAAGCAAAACTAGTTTTGACAAAACGACTGAGAACTTGAGGTTTTGAAGGCAGTCCTGGCCTCAGGGTGGAAGAAATCTACAGCGCAGGGGACACAGGGACACTCTGGTGAGCTGTCCTGACAGTACCAGCTCATGGGCGGCCTTTTCAGCTTCTGGTGCTTTGTGGTATTTGACTTAGTGACATTCATCGGAAGCTCAACTTCAAAAGTGCTTCAAAAGTTTCATTAGGCTTTAATACTTCTAGGTAGGGTAACACCAACTTTGTGTTTCAATGCACAGAAAAGTGATAGAGGTTGAAGTGTACTTTTTTCTTTTTAGTAGCATCATTTCTTAATTTTGATCAAAGAATCACAAACACAGTGAATTTTAGTGAAAGTAATCATATGGCTGAGTTCAAATTCAACAAAGAACTTGCAAACTGAATCCCAGGTCTGCCACCAACAGCCATGTGGTCATAGCTGCTGATCTTCCCACTTCCCTGTGCCTCAGTTTCCTCATCTGTAAAGCAAGGAGGCTGACCTGGATCCAAGACCCTTCCTCTATTTGACTTCTGAGCAGTGTTAAGGAGCTTAATGCCATACAGGTAACAGACAGAAATCTGTGAACATGGATTTGATACCCAGACGCCGACCCACCTTTAGAAAGTTCAGGCTGTTTCAGGTGAGCTAGCAGGCCAGGTTGCTACAGAACCGTGGCTGGGAATGCTGCCTCTGCTGTGAGATCCTCCCCGCTCCAGCCCAGGGCACACTCCACTTCAACCAAAGGGCTCCCCTGGAGCGTCCCTAAGAGAGGAAGGCAGCCTTGTTTCCCAGCATGGCCCCACCCTGGCCGCTGCACACCCGCCAGGAAGTCCTGCCAGCCCATCACACAGCCCTCTCACACACTTGCTGCTGCCACCTGTGCATCTGTGCCCCTTCGAGATGCCCGGCCCAGGGCTCAGACGCACTGGAGCAAGTCCTCCATTCCCATCCCTGGTGACCCATCTGCCTGTCTCTCCCCAATCCTGACTCCCCATGGCCAGCACAGAACCTTATCCTGAGAAGGGCCCAACTGAGCACCTGGTGCCCCCAGCCCATCAGCTCCACTGTCTTCTCACCTTCTCCATCCAGGTGGTCACCGCTGTCAGACACAGTAGTGAGGCTTCCCAATGTGCTAGAATCGCTGGACTCCCAGCCTTTACTTTTTCAACCCACATCCCCTAGTGCTGTGTAAATCCCACTGTTGACACACACTACCACCTAACATGAGGCAGGAAGTGGCAGGAAGTGGCACTGACTGGGTCCTCCACAAAACCCTTCACGAAGCTGCATCCTAGCTAGGCCCTCATGGCAATTTCCTAGTGTGCGCTCTCACACACTCGCACATGTGTGCGCCCTGGAGCCCAAAGGGTCCCCAGTAGGGGGCACATGAGAGGCAACCACACATTGATGTTTCTCTCCCTCTCTTTCCCTTTCCCTTCCCCTCTCTAAAAAAATAAAAGTAAAAAATCGAATGCGGTACCCCCAATGCCAGTAACAGGGTCTCTGTTATATTCTAACACCCAGAAAAGTGCCTATAGCCAGCAAGAACTCAATACACAGATGTTGAAGAATAGGCTTCAGTCATCACCCACATGAGATAAACATTATTTTATTTCCATACTCTACCATGACAATTGCAGCACAGGTATTCAAATCCCAGGAAGACATAAAACCCGTAAGTGGAGGGTGTCCAGTGCACTTAGGAGATGCTGGGAGGAACATTCACGGGCTGGGCCCATGACCAAAGGTAACCGTCAGGGGCTCAATGACACCCCACAGTAGCCACCTGTCTGTTAACGTAGTATGTGGAGCAATTTCAATGCCAGAGGCCCAGGAGAAGCAGAAGAGCTGCTGAGATTAGAGCCAGAGCAACAGACACAATGACTATACCTCCTTGGCCCACAAAACAGGTTTTCCTGAACCCCAAGCTACTGTGGCATTCTGACAAAAAATAGAACCAAGATGCCACTAAGACGCTGAAAAACCAGGTCACCGGAGACAGAAATTAAAAATTAAAACCAATCCATAAAATAGTATCTGGAAACTCTGTACCTGGTGCCAATCAGTAGCAAAGCCGACAAAGAGAGTAAAAAATAAAACAACACCCTAGTAAAAAGCAATAATGGGCTCACCTACATACAGTCACTACTGGTCAGCCCACTACTGAGCTCAAAAGTATCTTAAAACCCAAAACTACTGTCAGCAAGAGATTAAGACTAACTTCATCAAGAAGTCAACATTAAACAGTTCATTAAAAGTATTTTTGTTAAGGGGAAAAAAAAGCAATTTCAAGGACAACAAGCTGGAAATCCTTTGCTCACTGCCGGATACCAAAGAGAGACGCCAAGGAAAAAAGGCTAGAGGCCCCGGCTGCAGGCTGCGGGGCGGCCCCGACTGCAGGCTGCGGGGCGGCCCTGGCCGCAGGCTTGGAAGTGTACTGGATGATGTACTCTGGGTAAATCTGGTGCTTCTCAAAGATCACAAAGATAGAAGGGTCGGACATGCTGTTCACACAGCTGTCGTAGAAGACGTTGCCCTGGCCCTCCTTGGCTGGGGGGCGGAGAAAGGAGGCGTTGCCTCGGGTGAACTCGCCCACCAGCACCCGAGCCAGGAACATCATGGAGAACTTCGAGTTGGATTTGCTGTAGTGGTGGGAATACGCAGCATCTCGGGCAAAGTAGCTCCCTGCAAGGACAGGCACAGGCTTAGCTGGATACCGAGAGGACAGCTGCAGCCGGGGAGGAGAGGCTCTAGCGTCCTGTCAACCAGGCAATGCTAATGGCCTCTGCTCCTCTGCCACTGCATCTCCCTCCTGCCCTCCCTCCATCCTCCCTCTTTCTTCAGCCTTCCCTTGGGAAGGACATCAGAGGGGACACCAAACCGGGACAGAAAACTCCTTTCACATTCTGAACCTGTCACTCAAATCATAAGGCTCTCTGGGCATAAGAATATTTAACTCCTCAAATCTGTTTCCTCAGCTATAAAATGGAGCTGCCATGCCTAATGTGGAAAGTGACCAAGATGCCCTGCATGGGACGACTCTGGAGACACCAGCAGCCCAATGTATAGAATTATGAACCTCGTCTAATGGGAACCCGAGTTGGAAGCTGCCAGCCACACATTTGGATTTTATAGCCGTCCACGGGCTCTCGCCCATGCTGACCCCAGAGCCATCACGTCAGATTAGGGCCAACTGCTGGACAACTGATGCACTGGAATGGGGACTACTGATCATAGTATCACAACATTATGAAATTTTCTGCATTTAGTAATAACCATGTTATGATGACAGAGATACTGTCCTTTTTTTAAGGAAGTGTTAAAGGGTAAAGGACCATGTTATATGCCACCTAATTACACATGGTTCAGAAAAAAATGGGGGAGGATAAAGATAACATGGCAAAACATTAAAACATGAATCTAGATAAACATACACAGGAATTTATGCAGGAGTTTTTAAAATACTGTTTGTCCAACTTCCCTGTAAATTTTAAATTATTTCCAAATAAAGTTTAAAAATAAGCGAGAGACAGGGAAACACTCAGAAAATTCACCATATGGCTACAGTGGCATATTTACATGAGTGTATCCGAGCCATTCAGATTTCCATTCTAACAAAAGAGCACAGGCACAGAGTTGGGTAGGCACCCCCTTGTCTCTCCCAACTCATGCTTACCATCTCCCAAGGCCTGCACTCCACAGGGGTGCAGGGCCATCACTTGGGGAAGCAAAACCACAGTCTAAAGCAGGGCCAACCATGCTCAAACCTTGGGTCAGGCTCTGGCTGCACAGAGTGAGAGGAAGGATGCCGACAGCTGGGCATCCCCACAGATGGCCGAGACCACTCCTCCCTAAGTATCAACCAGCACATGAGCTTACACTGTCTCCCCACCCCCAACCATCAGTTGGCTGTAAAACAGTTTCCTGAGCCCTGCACAGCACAGCGCAGGAGGCCAGGTTCTGCTGGTGGAGTCTGTCCTCACCCTTACCTTTGCCATAGTTAGTGCCATGAAGACCACAGATCCGCCAGTCAAAGTTCTGCTGGCAGATGGCGTCGACGAAACTGTCATCGGTGCCATGGAACAGCTGTCTCTCATCTACCATTTTCCCTCCATTTTTCTTTTGCATCTGCCCTTTCTGCCTAGAATCACAGGAGAAAATATGTGCTGGAGGCAGAGAATACTTAGCACCAAATACAGGCTACCTGACCCAAGAACACACATTTTATTAGAAGCGTCCTGAGACCATGAGACACAGATCCAGATCTATGAAATCCAAGCCATGGGCCAGGGAGGGAAAAGGTGGAGCACAGGGATGGGATGAAAAGCAAAGGGAAGCCTTTCCCTCCACAGCTGTGGGCTTCCAGCAGCGACCCGCACTCCCAAAGCAGACCAGCCTTGGGAAGACAGGCATGCTTCGTCCCTACCATTTTGCTTCCTCAAGAAGCTTAGCCGGGGGAGCTTGAGGATGCTGTTCGGGGGAGGGGTCCATCCGTCTCCCTTCCCCTGTAAGTTACCCTGATTTCATCACCGGACTCAGAGCAGAGAGGAGAATGCTCCAACCTTTTGTGGGGACAGGCCAGCAGAACCCCAGGCCTGCCATGGTGACCTGCTGTAAATCTCCTCATGGACAAGTGCCCAAGAACATGCTGGTTCTCAGGCATAAAAATGAGGCCCCTGCTCTCTGGCTGTCAGGATAACAGCTTTATGTTGCCCGGGGTGTGGGTGGCTTACACTGCACAATCTGGTCAATCTTTAGGGAGAGAGAATACAAGCACGAGTACTGACTTTATCACTATGGAAGCCTCATTCCCCTTGCCTCTCTGAGGGAACATGCAGCACTAAGTTATAAAGATGATGAGATGGGTAAGAAAGCAGCGACATGGTTCCCAATTCTGGCAGCACTGGGTGAGCAGTGGCTACTATCTGGGATTGTCCCTGAAGTCCAGAGCATGTTTACTAAGCAGCTAGCCTACTACATATAGATGTGAGGGGATAGAGTCACCAGAATGTCAAGAGCAAGCCTCTGACGTACCACTGGTAGACTTCCCAGAGGGCCAGGTTCTGGACACGCTCGATCTTCTGAACATAGTAGGGCAGAGTACGGTTAAAGAGATTGTAGACCTTCTGATATTCTTCTGAGGAAGAACTGAGGGTGACCAGCTGCAAGGGGCAAAGAGTTTTACATTATCATCAAAGTTGGAATATAGATCAATCTCTTCCCAAGGTTGCTCCTAAAATGCTAGAACTGCCGAAGTGAGCCCAGATGGTGGTTACCACTCTCCCCTCTGGCCCAAGGGGCAGTCTCTCCAGGTGTAGGAGGAGCGCAGTTTGTGTTCACTATGAAACCTGCCCGAAGGCCAGGCATGCGATGCTTACATCAGCACCATTGTAGATGTCCCCAGGACCCTGCTCTTCTGACCCCACACATAGTCTACAAGACCGAGTTGATGGCAATAAATGTGGAAGGCATAGTTTTGGCAGACGGGGCAAATGCTGCCATGAGCAGTGGTGCTGTGTGAATGCTGCACACTGCAAGTGTTGATGGAAAGGCCAGGCTGGCAGATGAGCACATGGCAACTCAGGAGCATGGCCAACGAGTCCTCCTCCCAGAGCCCACCTCTCCCTCAGTCTCTTGCTCTAGGAAAGAGCACTTCTGATGGCCCAGGAGGGGCCCCTGACCAAGGGGAGCCAACTGTCACACAGAGTGACAATGTACAAATTCCTGCATTTGCAGCCTGGACCATGTAATCAGCCTCCCTATTCCCAGGGCCATGATGCTTTAGCCAGTGACAGACCATTTAAGGATTTCTGGGGAGTCCCTCTACACCATCCCCTTCCCCCACCCCAAGTGCAGCCTTAGAGTAATCACCTCAAGCCCCACCCCACCCCCAAAGATGCTATGAGTGGGCCTTGGCATGTCCATCGGTTTCCTGCAACTCAAATCCTGACTCTGGTTTCTCTGTTCCCATCTCATGAAAGCTGCCAAGCTCCTCTTCCTCAAGTACGGAAGCCAGCCCCGCTCCCTCCAAACCAGAGATCCTCATGGGCTCCCTTACCTGTCACAGCTGTTGCTTGGCCAATGACCAAGGCACTCCACATCATAGCCCTGACCTCTCTCCTGTCCCCCTATGCACACCCTACATCCAAGACATGCCTGACACCCCATGCCCTGACCTGGGCTGCTCTGCATGTAGTAGCCATCAACCTGTATGTTCTCCCACCTTTGCCTGACAAGCACCAGCTATCCTTTAGACGTGGACCCAGTGACACCTTCCCTGATCCCCTCAATATGGTCGCCTCGTCCTGACATCTGAGTGCTGCTGTCAACTCACCCAGCCCTTCACACATCTTGCCTGAACTGCTGATGTCTGAAAGCTTGGCAGACAAAGGCGGGAGAACATACAGGTTGACAGGACATACTGAAAGACACTCATCTGATAAGACAAGTCCTCCCAGGGCAGTGACGTTCATGTTGTAAAAGCTGGTGTGCAACGTGCTTGGCAAGAGGCCAGCCATCAGAGGCCAGCCTGAGTGCCCTAACTGGGTGGGGCAGCGCTGGACCATGGCCTGAGTAGTCTACTGAATTCCATGCAGCTCCCAAATTTTGACAAGGACCTAAAGGAGCTACTGAACTGACTGTTCCTTCTCTTGTCTTGTATCATCTAGCACCTTTTGACCAAAGTTTCCACTCTAGATGTTCCTCATCATACTCAAACTATCCCGTGGTTTCTTTTCCTTTCTTGTTTAGTAAAACTAATACTTATTGGCTGAGCCCAGCTGTTGAGCTTTCTACAAAATTTTCCTCTCTAGAAAATTTCCAGCTTATCATCCTCTATCTGTAACATATCCTCTCCTCTCAGGACCACAGCCATCTCCTGGGTGTGCTCCAGCCTTAAAATCCTTAAGACCTGAAAAACAAAAATCCCGACACACTCCTTTCTCCCTTCCCTCACGAGCCCTGGCCTCACAGCTTCTTCTGTGATGGAGAAAACAACCTAGTCACTCATACTCACCTATCTCAAAGGACACGCTCCTCCCCAACCCAAGGAAACTGGAGTCCCATACCTTAAAGTCAGAGTCTGCCAGGGCTGAGGGGTCCCAATGGTCTGGGATGTTCTTTGGGCCTTGAAACTTGACATTGCTATAAAATGTAAACAAAAACACTAAGACATTTAGTTCTCAGACATAAGCAGACTACCACAGGTGGCCTCCACGAGCCAATATCACCAGTTTCAAGTCTCGGCATCTCATTTGTAAAAGCTGGGAGAAGGAGAGGGAGCACATGAGCACACTATCCACCTTATGAGAGCACTTTCATCTTTGTCTAAGTGGCCCAAGCCGAAACAGTCAGGCCTGAGGGATCCATTTCTCACCTGTACCCTAACTCCTGCCAAAACGGAAACAGAATATGATTAAAGCAGCACACACAGACCCTCATCCATTATTTTAAAATTCAAAGAGCTCTGAAACTTGTATTAAAGAGCTCTGAATTATTATTACAAACAGCCTCAATGAGGTGTATTATTATTACAAATAGCATCAACTGGCATATAAAATCAAACTGATGTGAAAATTCATTTGGCAGTAGAACTTTGACTTGAACTGATGAGATGCTATTTGTGGTCTCTATAGATCTTTCCTAAAGTGGCTATGCATAGTTTTTTACTGCAGAAATATTAATTGCTGTGTGTCATGTAATACAAGCAGCACGTGATCTTTCTAAAAATAAAAATAAGTAAAAACTGAGTTCTAAAAGACATGTGGCCCAAAGAGTTTGGGAACAAAGACTGAAAAACTAATTCTAAATCATTGTTACTCAGTTTCAGAATGCTCTGTTCTTCCTACACTAGATCTACCTTCTGTTTGTGCTGGCATGAGACCTTCGTCCTCAGCCTCAAAGAACTCCCACAAATAACATTCCCAGGAAAGGAGCACAATTTAAAATAACTAAACAAGGCCCCATGAGCAATAATCATCCAGAAACAGACTCACAAAGAATTAAGTTGCTGAAATTATCAGGTATAGTATAAAACAACTATTCTATGTTTAAAGAAATAAAAGAAAGACTAAAATCATGAAAGGAACAGGAAACTATATTAAAAAAAAACCTGGAGGATCTGAAAAAGAACCAAACAGAACTTCTAAAAATTAAAAATACAATCCTTGATAGTAAGAGTTCAATGGACATGCTTACTAGCAGATCAGATCACCTGAGAATGAGTGAGCTGAATGATATGGGAAATGAAATTCTGCAGAATATGACCCACAGTGAGGAGACAGAAAATACATGAAGACGCTGAGATGCGGAGAACAGTGTGAGAATGACTGAATCTGGTCAAGACCTAAATGAAATCCAAAGAGAGGACAGAGAACAGTGTGGAGGCAATATCCATAGAGAACTAAGGAGATGAGCCAACTCACATGTTCAAGAATCCCAAAGAATCTCCAACAGGATAAATAAAAACACATACCCAGACATGTAATAATGGGAATCTGTAACACCAAGACAACAGAAAATCTTAAAAGTAACCAGAGGGAAAAAAAATTCAGGCAGAGAACACCAGTTACACAGCTAATTTCTCCAAAGCAGCAATGAAAGCCAGAAGACAGTAGAGTAGCACTGTCAATGTTCTAAGAGAAAATACAACCAAAATTTCTATACCCAGTGAAAATATCTTTCAATATTGAGAACAAAATAAAGATATATTTAAACAAACGAAACAGTTTTCCAACAGACCTTTATCTAAGGAAATTTGATAGGACAAAGAAAGTGGTAACAATGTGAGTAAATTTAATGAAATGTTCATAGTATAAAATAATGCCTCACTAAATTAAAAATAATCTAAGTTGCTGTAGTTTTCAGAGAATAAGTTTTTCAGTTATTTTAAAATTTATTCCTAAGTATTTTATTCTCTTGACGCTATTAGAAATATAACTATTTTCATAGTTTCCAAAAATAATTAAAAGTAACATGAGGAAGGTAAATGGAATAAATTATATGAAAGTCCTTATATTAGTTAACAGGAGGGCAGAAAAATTGACTGACTTCCAGTGTGGCCTTAAAAAAATAGTAACACTGTGTAACTTCCAAACTAGTGGAGGATAAAATAATGAAACAACAAAAAATATCCAAAAGAACGTAAGAAAGGAAATAATAAGACCCAATCACATGAATAAAACATCTCTATGGAGGATGGAAGGACAGTAAGGAACTGAACCTAGTACCTGATGTGTAAATGCCATTTTGAACTTCCCATTAAACAACTGTGACCCTGTTAACTGTTGTACAATGAATAGAGAACTTGTTTCTGAAACTGACCAAGCCTAAGAGTCCCAGATGGCCACAGACACCCAAGCAGACTTGCCTACTGGAGTTATGACAACTAGCTCATCGCACCAGTTAGAAGAACCACACACTTCACTGCATCTACCTGTATGACTCTCAGGTTACAGCACAAGTAGATTTTGAATCACTCATATCTTAGTCTGAATTTGATTAAAAAAAAAAACAAAACCTCCACTTTTAGTTCTGATAGTGTGGCATCTGCTTATGGTGCCCTGCAGACTAAGTTAGTGATTAGAAGAGATCCAGTCTCAGAAAGAAAGACATGTTTACAAACTGTGCCTAGGGTAGACTCTGGAGACGGAAAGAATCAAAAATGACTTCCAGAAGTAGGAATGGTCACAGCTGACCAAAATTCTAAATCCAGAAGCAATACACAGAAGAGACTGATACATTTAACTAAAAAAATAAAATAAATATTTCTGTGTGGTAAAATTATTCATAAACAAGGCCAAAAGTCAAATAAACCAAGGGAAAATATTTTCAATTTATATAGAACAAGGGTTGATCTTCCTAGTAGATAAAAAGGCTCTTCTATTTAAGAAAAATACCAAAAGGTTGATAGAAAAATAGACGAAAAATCAGAGTCCATAGAAAGAGAAAGGCAAATGGCCCTTACACATTAAGAAAAAACAGTAAGCCTTACTTACAAGAGAGAGCAAATTAAAATGTACTGATATACCCTTTCCCACCTATGAGAATGGCAAAAATCTAAGAGTTTAACCACTCTGTTGGCAAAGTCAAGGGAAACTGGCACCTCTTGCATTCTGGGACTAGTGCATAACAGCTTAACCCCCATAAAGAGGAACTTGCATTGACCTTGTAGGACTCTAACCTGATGACCCCACCTCCACAATACGAAACAGCACATACACCAGATCATCCTTTGTGGCATTACACTTTTAATAGAAAAAGATCAAGGGCCAGGCAGAGAAACCTCAGACACAGAGAGTGGTGGGGCATTCAGTTCACAGCCAACAAATCTCTTTAATGCTTTAGCCAACTGAGGTTCTCTGTACACAGCAGAGCACACCCCAACTGATACACACAGTAAGTGACTAGTTCTCCAAATGCCAATTACCTGGCTTGCTTCACCTTCACATCCTGAGGAGATATGTATTTGGGTCTTCGACAAACCTTCCTCGATGTGCCAAAGGCCAGGTTTTTCTGAATAAAATCTGAAAACAAAAAAATAATACACACAGAGGATGTCAGTGTTTTATAAACAAATTAAATGGGTTGGAAAGGTATTGCAAACATACAAAGCCCAGCATCAGTCTGTTAAAAATAAGGCAGTTTTACCCATTTCAAATATTCATAAGAAAATAGGAATCCTTAGGAGACTGGGTTTAATGAATACATGAATGATTAGTAATTGACATATCAATTACACATCAGTGCTTTTAAATCGTTCCTTCCAATCCTGTTAAACTATTATTTTGCTTAGCAATTTTTCCCAGTTTGGATATAAAAAAAGCTTCAGCCCAGCCTCAGACTGAATTATCACATTTTGAGCCAGTGGGATTTAGAATTAATATAATAATTTTACTCTTATGGCTTTTCTTTCTTTCTTAGAATAAACTGACTCTATAGCAGTATTTCTCAACCTTGTAAAACCTGTACCATCTTTAATAAACAAATTTCTTGACCCACACCCATCCCTAAGATCCTCACATTCATCCTGAGGGTTAAAGGGACACCAACCTTTAAGTTGAAAAACTACAGATACCTCCTACAAATTAGATTACATGTCCCCACTTTCCAAGAAAACCCTGTCAAGTTCGACTTTACATACCTAGAGTACAATATTTTTACTTAAAAAGCATTTTAATATTAATTTGTCTCTAACTATCTTACCTTACTGCATTTGAGGCATATGTCCCTTATGCTACTGCCCAGGTAGTCGTCAAGATCAGGCACTTCTGGGAGTTACCCCATGTTCTAATGAGAGCCCAGACCCCAGACCCTGCTACTACAACCCTTTCTGTTACCCACTGTTCAACCTCTCATCAATATACTCTGATAATAAACACACAAATTTTATTAACCTGTTGACTAACATTGTGTTGAATCTTAAGTGGGTTTTTACTAATGAAATTAAAAGTTACTCAACACGTGGACTGGCTAAATATGTGGGACCCGTCCGCTATCCTCCCATGGACAGATGGTGAGGCCTTTTCCCTAATATACCCTTGAAGAGGACACATGAGGTTAAGTCCCTAAGCAAGCCCTGCCTATGCAGATTCTGTCTGACTGGAGCCAGCTAACAAATGTTAGAATTCAGCCTCTAGAATCTTGCTATTTGTCTTGAGTCACTCTTCTATAACAGGAGTCCCTAAAAAACAGCTGAATCTTCCCTGATCCTATAGAACAAGTCATTTGGCCTATTGTGTTTCTTAAATATATTTGTTTCCTAATAAATTAATAAATGTGAGTGGCAGATATGGGTCCAAAACTTGCTTTCATTACACCCTGTAGTGAGGTTGTGAGGATGAAAATTAACCAATTCCAAGCTTCTTCTGTGGCTATTGTTATCTGACAACAACCACCACCACGCTGTCTACCCAGGTGAGCCTGAGGCAGTCAGTAGCGAACATGCTTCTCCTGTAATCTGTAGTCAACTGCATGCATGCTCCACCCCCCATCTGACTTTCTGTTCTGCCCCTTGGAGGTACAGCCTAGGTTGAGAATGATCAAAGTTCCATCTGACAATTTTGATTTGTTTTGATATTCCCCAGATATTTCAACAAATATTTCAAACTAGCAATCAGATGAGTGATTGTTATATAGACCTGATATTCAGGGCAGTCCCCACTTTTATTATGCTGCATCTCTCTCGCTGTCCCTTTTGGGGACCTTGTGTTTATCAGACTGGACTGGTTGGTGTTTGCCCACAGATGCTCAAGGCTGGTAAACAGTTCCCACTGAAGAACAGTAGATATTTTAGGATCCCTATAAGGGCCCACTGAGACGGCAGCCACTCTACCTTAAGCAAAACCACCAGTGCTACAAAACCACAAGCAAAAACAACTGGCTAAAAGCAAGCAGTTAAAGCAGTTTTAGGGTAATTCACTAAAGACACTTTACTGCCCTCCACATAGAATAAAGGTCCACAAAAATAGAGAAAACAGTCAACTGTGTTTAGAAGAAAGCCCACTTTAACTCCCTTAAAAAATGCTGATCATTCTGAGGATTCAGAGTTTAAATATGAACTTAAAGACAAAAATGAATCAAATAAGGCTAGACTGATAAATACACCTAGAAATATCTTAAGAGAAGTTACCAAAAAACTAAAACTTAAAAAAAAAAGTCCCCACAAAATCGGTCACTAGAAGACCTGGCCGAAGAGTGTCTGGCCTGCTTCTGTAAAGGCAAAAGGGACAAGTCATTTAAGGCCCAGATTTAGGTCACTGTGAGCATACAAAACTATGCTTCCCGGCACCTTTTTATTAAGGTATGCACCTACCAAGCATTTAACCTGACAGCCCATCTATGTCAAAGGCACCTTTTGAAAAGGTATTAACATTGCCACACTGGGAAGTATAAGGCAAAACTGCACAGCAGAATCACTATGACACTTTTTGGGGACTTAGGTTAATCCTCACACACAGAGGGATTTGGCCACGGCCAACAGGACAACCATCAATATGCAAAGGCAGAACCTGCTTGTACCTCCACTCTTTGGGCTCCTGTCCCTTCCTCGGGGTCCTCTTCTCCTACCCCTACCCCACACTCACCCCCTCAGCCATCTTCTCTTTGATTCTGCTGGACAGGCATTATCTGTTTATAGGTCTGTTTTCCCTTCCAGACCGGAAGCATTTCAGTGGCAGAGACCACCCTTCCTTTTCTTTCCAGGCCCTTGTGCATACAAAGCTCTTCCAGGGTTAATGGGGGAAAAGCACAGCCAACTGATGGCCAGGCCCTACTGGGCAAGGGCAGAGCGTCAGTAAGTACCTCTGAAGTCTAATTCGTATTTGTGTTTTCCAGCCTCGAACTTGAGAATGGCTGCCTGGGTGTCAGACCCTGATGCACAGTATGCCAGGTAGGCCTTCTCCACATCGCTGCTGCTAACTGTAGTCGTGGGGTGCTCCGTGCCCTGCAAGGTGAAAAACCAGATACGTCATGAAGAGAAGAATCTACAATGATGAAGACATACACTGGTGCTGTCCTTGCCATGCAGCAGACATGCCCATGGCGGTATTGGCATCATGGGGGAGGCATGAAAAGAGCAGGGATATGGCAGGAAATGGAGGCACAAAATAGAAGCCAAGACAACTACTTTCTAAAAGCTGCCTGAGAAAATAGTGGATTGTAAATATGGGTGCTGCTTCCCAAGATAACCACCATGGGGGCACTAGAAGAGAGGCCGTTTGATTACTCATAATGGATGATACAGTACTCAAATGAAGGTAAAACACCAACAATGAATTCTCAAATGCTGCTACACTGGACAGCCTGAGCAATGCTGCCTCTTCTCCATCTAGTCTTATTCCTACTATCCTTTAATCAGAGGGCAGTCCTCCTTGTTTTCTTTTTCTGATCCCTTGGAGAGCTCTTCTATTTTTTTCAATTAACCATTTTCATCTCTTACTTTCATTCCAATTACCTACAAGACATCGAAGATTTTGAAATGGACTGAGTTTGAATTCTGGCCCCAAACCTGTTTTCTCTATAACCTTAGCAAGTTATTTTAACCTCTCTGAACCTCGATGATCTCAACTCTACAATAAGAGTAGTAACAGCACTTAAATCATACTCACATCATTACATAATGGTATCATACCATCAGCAAAAGGTTGGAAAATAATTAAAATAAGGCATGCAAGGCACACAGCACAGCACCCAGAAAAAAAAAGCAAAGGTACTGCAAAAGTATCAGGTGGTGTCTGGATACACAGGTCTGATCTTTGAAAAGGGACCTAGCCTGAAGACAGAGATATAGAGCTCACTCAATGTGGGCACCACTATCAGAAGCCGATGTAATCACCAGTGCGAACACACAATGGGGGTGTGGGCTGGACCCGGGAAATCCCAACATTCACCAAGGGGAGTAGAAAAGCAGCCCAAGAAGGACACGCAGGAGAAGCAAGAACACCAGGAGAGTGAGAAGGAAGTGGGCAGCACTCTGGGCAAAGTGCCATGGGATTTGGCAAACTAAGCCCTCTGTCCCTTGTCAGTGTCTATGGTTCAGTGAGGGCTGTGCCTGGTTGGGTCCCACCTTCTGAAGGCACTCGTCAATAGTGACCAGAAGAACAGTAATGAGAATAGAAGTCAGATTCTGGCAAATGGAAGGATAAATGGGGTCTTTCTTTCCAAGCAGATGGATGGGTTGTTCAGGTACAAAAGGGTGAGAATAATTGTGGAGCTCCTGGGTCAAAGCAGAGGAGATCATAGGAAAAGGAAAATGGAAAAGGTAGACTGAAATGAGAAGCTGGTTGAGAATAATCCAAAGAGGATTTAGGATGGGGTAATGCACCCTGGAGCCAAACACCTCAGGAACGTCAAGTTTCACTCAGGAAACTTCAGTGGGCCCACAACAGTATTTCTTTTACACATAAGATTAGGCTATGGGTTTAGCTGTGTCCCCTAATCCCTAGTACCTCAAAAATGCTACCTTATTTGGAAATAGGATCATTGTAGATCCACTGGGTTTTTTACCTTATTTGGAAATAGGGTCATTGTGGATGCACAATGTTTTTAACAAGTATCAAAACTGGTGAATTTTTGTGTAGCCATTTTAATACTGAAGATGAAAGAAAATACGCAACGTTTTCAATATATTATGCTTTATTATTTCAAGAAAGGTAAAAACGTAACTGAAAAGCAAAAAAAAAAAAAGATTTGTGTAGTAAATGGAGAAGGTGCTGTGACGGATCAAACGTGTCAAAAGTGGTTTGTGAAGTTTCATGTTGGAGATTTCTTAATGAATGATGCTCCACAGTCAGGCAGATCAGTTAAAGTTGACAGTGATCAAATCAAGACATTAACTGAGAACAATCAATGTTACGCCATGTGGGAGACAGCCAATCTACTCAAAATATCCAAATCAATAGTTACTGGTAAAAATGAAAAATGTGTCTTTTATTTTATGGAAAAAAAAACATGAACTTTTTGGCCAACCCAATAATTAGTTAAGATGTGCACCTAATCCGGCATGACTGCTGTTCTTATAAGAGGAAAGCCACATGAAGATCCACAGGGAGAACACCATATGATGACAAAGGCAGGCTGGAGTGGTGCATCTACCAGCTAAGAAACACCAAAGTTTGCCAGCAGACCACCAGAAGCTAGGAAAAGGCAACAAAGGATTCCCTACAGGATACTGAGGAAACATGGCCCTGTAGACACATTAATTTCAATTTCCAGCTTCCAGAAATATAATAAATCACTGTTGTTCTAAGCCACCCAGTTTGTGGCACTTTGTCATGGCAGCTACAGGAAATTAATATGGTGGAGGCAATTTAGACCTGAAATTTGGGGTACACATCCTGAGCTCAGGCAGAAAGAGCCTAGCTTTTTGGAAAATCACAAGAAAACTATCTTGAACTGGCAATTAACAGAAAACTAAGAAAGAAATATAAATATGGGGTGGCAACAGAAGTGCATGGGAAAGGAAGGGCTTGAACGGACAGGTCATCTTATGAGATGGTCCCACTCACAGTACAAACAGACCACAAGGCTAAATATTACCAAGTCTTCATGTGTGCATCTGGACCCACCAGCACATGGTGGTCAATCATACCCACAGTCATTCCCAGAGTCTCACTGTTCTAACAAGGTCATACACTCTGACTATACTGCATTAAGGAGCAGTGGCATAGAAAAGGAGAACATCTTCAGTGTGGGCTGTTTGGAGGAGAAAGGCCCCTATTCCTCAAAGTGACACCAGGTTTGGGAAGCCACCTAGAGAAATGCACTTGCTCATGGTTACCCCCAGGGTCACACGTCATCCCACTGGACTCCCAGAGAGCTTGTCTCCCTCAGAGGGAGACAAATCTCCAAATGAAACAAGAAAGATGATCACATTTGCTAAGTGTTTCTCATCCGCAACACGTCTTTCCACGCTGTCACCAGATAAACTCGATTCCTGGAGAGTGACCAACCCATCACCCACCACCCCTCCTCAATGCCAGACATGGCCTCTCTCCTCCCACTACTGGCCAAATCGAGAGTAATGCTAGAGAGACTACCTGACCAAATCCACATGGAGGAGAGGTGAGTGAAATCCTAGGATGCTTGAAAAGGGGAGGCAAGTGGGGACAAGAGTGGATGTAGCGGCCAAGGAAAACAGGCTGGTACTTGAAGAAATGGAGGCAAAGAATGAGGCTCAAGTCATGAGGCCACCACTGAGAATGACCACCTCCAACTGACCAGCTGGCCTAAGGCCAACAAGATCTCTGTCCTTCAACCAGCCAACACCTATTCCCAAGGATCTGTGAGGTGCAGGCATCATGCTTGACATGGGGGCACATCAGTGACAAAAGAGAGACAAAGCTCCCTGACTTCATGAAGTTCACATTACAATGTTTCAGATCATCTAAGTGAATCTGAGAATAAGAAACAAGTGCAAATGTCCACTGGACCACATACTCCAATTTCCATTTTGCAGAAACTATTCCTATAGAAATGGTGACCTCCCTATACTTTGTACCTCTACAGGTGACCAGAGGACTCCCATTAATCTGATCCATTCAGGAACATCTTCAAATAACTGACAGCAGCAGTTTTTGATCCAGATTCCAAATCAATACCTCAAACAAACCCATTTTCTTATTCTCACCCACCTTCTGCAAAGTTGCTGCTATAGGTAAGGTGGAAAGCCAGTTTTGAAAAGCCTTAAACTTTATTCTGAAAACTTAAAATTTATTGTACAAGCACTCCTGCACACACAGGCAGTCGCTCCAGAGTAACCTGCTCCACAGTAAGAGAAGTATCTTCCCACCCCTACTTAACAAAACCAATGAAGAAATGTGAGCTCTCACTACAACTTTTAGTCATTCTGATCTCACGAGCCAACAGATATTGAATTGTTCAAAAATGAAACCTCAGAAAAATGAACTCCAAATTAGCTAGTTTTGCCACAATTCTCTCCAAAGCAGGTGATTCAGGGTATCTGGAAATCTTTGGCTCTTTCACTGATTCCCCCGAACAATCCTTGTGCCAATGTTTGGAAGGGCTCCTCCATATAGATCCTGAGGAGGGAACACTTGCTCTCTTTCCATCACACTTACTTGTTTTCCATATTGCTGCCAAAAACCAAAGTCATCAATCCAGTACCAAATCCACTCGGTGGTGAGGATATAGTGTGGAGGTTTGGTGACGGAGGAGGCTGTGGAGAGACGGCGGGCCTGAGCAGTGCCGAACTTCATAGACTTAAAATTCAGATACTCGGTGTGAAAGGTATTGCCCAAAACAGCACACAGGACCCTGCAAAAAGCATGAAAGATACACTTAAAATTCCACCAGCCAAATGAACACAGGCCTCTCACCTCCCACCCATGGTCTTCCAGATGCACAGCTGGTAGATGTGAACAATAACACTACACGTACATTAAAAAAATGTTTCCAAGGAGGGAGACAAGGACTGCTTTTTAAAATCCATTTTGCCATGCAAAAATAATAAAATCAAGGTAATATGGAAAACTCATTATCATAACATTCCTTTCACTACACAGAAAATGCTGATTAAAAAAAATTTAATACACTGCTGGGTTGGCAAGAAAAGGAAATCCATACACCAAAGTAAAAATACTTGATGTATGCTGAGTGTTTACTGTGCAAGTGTGGCCCTGTTGACACTGGGATTTCTAACTTCTAGTCTCCAGAACTGTGAGAGAATAAATTTCTATTGCTTTACCTCACCAAGTTGGTGGTAAACTGTTAAGGCAGTCCTAGGAAACTATTATACCTGCATTTAGACCTACAGCTAACTTCGAAATCGCAGCAATGAAAGACAGAAAACAATGGAATAATCTTTAAAGAGCTGAAAGAAAATAACCTAATAAAACTATCTTTCAAGAATGAGAATGAAGTAAAAATACTTTCAAACACATTTGTCACTAGAGGCAATTTCACAGGCAAAGACTAAAATTTCACAAATGATTGCCTCTCCCTTTTCTGAACTAATCAATGAAGAGATATATACATGATCAGTCCCAACAGCAAATAACTCAGAACTCACTTCTTACCATCACGTCTTTCCCTCACAACTTCTCCCTGAAAGGAGCGGAAAGTGGGGGAACAGAGGCACCAGAACTCTAGTATGAAGACTAATTTCCAATTCCCAGCCCAGAGCTTTCCACCTCCCCACCAGGCTGCTTACTTACTAAGTGTGTGAGTGTGTGAAGGACACCAACACTAACCTGTGCTGTCTAAACTTCCCACACTACAGAGAAAAGCCCAGGCACAAAGCAAAAACAAGTGATGTACTTCCTACCTCTCTTTATTAGGATTGCTATATGCCTCTTCAATAAGCTCCATTTTGTCCAAATCCTTCCACCTGCTTCCATCCAAGAATTGCCATCGATAAGGCAAATGGAAATGAACTTTAGAGCACTTATCTGAAATAAAAATACAAAGACATTTTGGCATTAGACAGCATGACCTAGTCCCATGGTTCTCAATGAGTGTGGTGCTGCATGCTGACCTGGGAATGTTATGGAAATTTGTAGGGGAGTCTTTCTTAGTACAGTCATATCTAAGTACTTAGATATTAAAATATTATGTATTTTATTATATACATCTTGCTTTTATGCCTCCCTTTTTAATAGGACATTACACTGATTTTTCAAATGCTGTATGTTAGCAGGTTACATTATATGTGTATTTTATCTCATGATAGTAAAGAAGTTGATCGTGAGAAGGTCAAAGGTTCTATCCCTGCAGGTGGCAGTCTGACTATGCATTACTGCTACTCATCGGGCAGGTAGACAGGTAGCAATCACACCAGAAAACAGAGCCAGCTTTATCTCTTTCATCCCGACTCTAGATATATTTGACCGCAAGTGAGTCAGCAGTATGGTTCCAGCACACATTGATCTTTCTGGCTGCTAACCTAACTCAACCTCTCATCAACATGCCCTCACACCCCTGAAGGTCTTTATAAGCTACACTGCTCTGTGTCTGCAGGTGTATACATACCGAATGGGCCAGGTCTACAGGTTTCAGCTGACTGCTCCCCCCACACCTTCCCTGTGTTCTCTAAGGCCCTGCTTGCTCCTAATACTTCAATATGACTTCTCTTGGCTCATACAGAACCCTCAACAAGAATGCCACCCACACCCTCTCTCTACCTTTCAACATGCTCTAGGATGTTCTGGTACATCCATACAGAGGAAAGCTGTAAGAGTAAAGAGGGAGAGGAAAGAAAAGCAACAGAAGCCCTGTGCACTCTGCTATGGACCTGCCTCCAAGTTACATGCTATTAGGTAGCAAGACACCAAACAAGGTACAGAATGCCTCTTCTGTGGTGGAAAAAAAAGTGATATTTTGACTAAATACAAATCCATGCACATATTTATTCCTTGCAAGGGATAACTAGATGGTCAGAATAGAATTATAAGGAAAGATTTCCGCTGTTTTTTGCATCTTTGGAATTTTGAACCAAAGTATGTATTATGTACTCCAAGAAATTAAACTTCTAGTTAACTGATGCACCTAACAGCATGCGTGGTGCACCTGTGTATGAAGGAAACAAGCTATGTATATACACTTGTGCATATTTAAAATCTTCGTGAAAGTATTATTAAAGGAAGTGGTAATAATGACTTTCTGGAGAAGATCTAGGTACTAAGGGAGAGAGATGTGAGGGAGACATTTCTTAATGACTGTCCTTTGAACATTTTTAATTAATTTCTCAAAATAACAATGAAGCTTGGCTAATTTGACACTTGAATTTAAATTAGTTTAAAGTAACTTAAATTCTCTAAAATTTGAAGCACTCTTTCAAGTAAGTCTCAATACTACTCTTTCCCAGAGATTCTGTGGTGGTGGTGGAAGGACCATGGAGGAAGGTGGGAAAGGCCAGGCCTGGAGCCGGGCCAACCAGGCAGGAGAGAGCACACAGCTGAGAGGACAGAGACCAAGAAGAGAGACCCCAACCAAAGGAATCTCCTCCAAGTTCAGCGAGGCTGGATGCAGCCACACTGGGGACTCAGGACATCCTGCCTTGTCCAGAGTTAGAGCCTCTTGAACTCCTAAGGGTGTGTATAAGAGTGATAATGAAGGGCTCAGCATAGATAGATGAAGTCATAACTGTGGTCCAGAGGTTACAACCAAATAAAATTTCCAGTTTTCTTCTGAGAAGCAGTAAGGGAAATGATCCTCGATAAGTGCTCAGTCACCACCTCTATATACCCCAGCACAGGTGAATCCTAGATGTCCTGAAGAAAGGCTCTCCCCTTAAGAAGGCATCTCCAGGGAAGGCGCACCACCCACTGCCTCCCAGGCTGATGCTTCACTGAGAAGGACATGGGGACCAAGGGAAGGCACTGTAGTCAAACAGCAGGTTCAAGCCTTTCGGTTCTTAACCTGAGCTGAGCAGAGAGCCATGGCTGCTCACAAGCCAGAAGGCACCAGCAAAGGCGGGTGTGCGCAGGTCACCACAACCACAGTGGCTGGCAAGAGCTGAGTCCCTGCTCAACGATGGAGGCATGAAGTCCCTTCTCTGCCACATCTGCCCTGGTCCTCCTGTTCCCTTTCTCAGTTTCCTTCCCTTCTGCTAATATTCCCCACCTCATTGTGGCATTCCAGAGTCTAGGCTTTCTAGAAGGTGAGCCACAGAAATGAAATCAATTTAGCAAAGTAACCATATCTACATTCCCTTTCTCCCTACAGCCCTTGAAATGACAGGCCACAAAGAAAATAAATCCAAAAGCACTAGAAAACAATAAACCATTCCATAAAAAGAGTGGACTTTACAGAATCAAACTGATAGAGGAAAAGGAGAGAGAAAAGTACATGCAAAGTATGCAGAAGAGAGCTAATGCAGAAGTGGGAAGGGCTTGGAGGTTTCACAAACTCAAAATTCAATGTAATAAGGAGCAAGAAAGACATCCAGGCAATCGCAGTGAGAGTAATTGGGATCCACTAGAGCAGGCACTCCCCTCAGTGCCTTGCTTGTGCTCAGCAACCCTGTTATTTGTCCCATGGAACATGTGAGTATAGATAAAAGAGCTGCAGAGAGACAAGCCTGTGAGAGAGCCATCAAAGCCCCCAGTGCTAGGATACACCCTAGCAGCCCACTCACCAAGCAAGATGTGCTGCCTCTTTCCCAGTAAGCCTGGCATCAGAATCAGCACCCACTACAAGCACAGAGATTCTGAGTACCAACATGAGCAGAAAACCAAGAGTCACCCATCGCCCTGACCCGGTGGCTCAGATGGTTGGAGAGTCTTCCCATACACCGAAAGGTCATGGGTCTGATCCCTGGTCAGAGCACATAGCCAGGTCGCAGGTTTGATACCTGGTCGAGGCATGACGGGGAGGCAAGTAATCTGCTTCTTTCTCACACTGATGATTCTCTCCCCTCCCCTTTCCTCTCGCCAAAATCAATAAATATATCCTCAGGTGAGAATTTTTTTTTAAAAAGTCACACATGACAGAAGGAAAAATTACAAATAGGTAGCTAACAGAAAAATCAATAATTATTAGAGAAAACAGATCAAGAGTAACAGACCTAAATATAAAAGCTAAATCTATATCACTTCTAAAAAAAAAAAAAAAAAAGGAGAAACACTTTTTGTGGGCTTCAAATAGTCAAAGATTTTAAGGTACAAAAAACACAAACCATTAAAAAATATTAAAATGATTATAAATATTGACGTTTATATTTTTGAAAGATACCATAAAGAAAATGAACATGGAAGGACTGGGAGAATACAGTCTCAATACCTGTATCTGACAATAACTTGCATAAATACTCAACTCTTGCAAGTCAATAATAAGATCAAACCCCCCAAAATTGAAAAAATCATATAAATCAGAAAGTCACAAAACACCATATACTGTATGATTCCATTTACATGAAACATCCAGGCAAATTCATACAACTATAATATAAATCTATAGTTGCCAGGAGCTGGAGGGGAGGGAAGAAAGGGAGTGACTGCTAATGGTTACAGGGTTTCCACAGAGGTAATGAAATATTCTAATATTGACTAAGATAATGGCTGCACAATTTTTGACTATACTAAAAACTATTAAATAGGTGAACTGTATAATATGTGAATTATATCTCACATATTTACTGAGATATCTCAATATCTCAGTAAAACTATTATCTAAAAACAGGCTAAAGATTTAGAGATTCTTAACAGAAGACACAAATGGCCAATAAGCACGTGAAAATAAATGTTAAATATCATTAATCATCAGGGAAATGAAAATTATGAGCTATTTACTACTCATTTATTAGAATGGCTAAAATTTAAATGGCTGACAATACCAAGTGTTAACAAAGATGCAGAACAACTGGAATGCTCATACATTGCTGGTGGAGAGGTAAAATAGTATATCTACTTTGGAAGACAATTTGGCAATGTTTTATAAAGTTACACACACATTTATCACAGAATCCAATAATTCCACTCCCAGGCCTTTACCAAAGAAAACAGAAACACAGATCCACACAAAAACCTGTACGTGAAAATTTATAAAAGTTTTATTTATCAAAAGCCAAAAACTGGGAAACCACCCAAATGTTCATCAATATCTGAAAGGATAAACAAATTGCAATGCAATGAAATACTACTCAACAATAAAAAGGAATGAACGATGAATATTCCAGCCTGACCAAACCTCAAAAAAAAATGCTGAGTGACAGAAGATGGTACAGGAGAACATATGCTGTATGGTTCTGTTCATATGAAATTCTAGAAAAGGCAAATCTAACCTAGAGCAACAAAAAGTAGATCAGGAATTTCCTGGAGTCAGTAAACTGGGGGGTGAAGATTAACTGTAAAAGGGCATAAAGGAATGGTTCCATACTTAGATGACAGTGGTGGCTACACGGCTATACATATTTACCAAAACTTAAGAGTGTACACATAAAATGGGTGCATTTTATTGTATAAATTAGACCTCAGTGTTGACTTTTAAAACATACATATATATACATATACATACATACACAGACACACAGACACAGAGAGAGAGAGAGATTGAGAGAGAGAGAGCGCGCGCACACATATTCCTCGACTTGGCATTCCAGTTCCAGGAATCTATCTGTGGAAATGCACATGTGTACTCAGACATTCAATGGAACATCTCACTAATCGAATACCACACAAATGTTGTTAAAAACAAGGTGGAATCACACATATTAATTAACATGGAAGAAACCTCCAAGACACAATGTTAAGTAAAGGAGGCCAGTTAAATAATACGTGTCACATGTTCTCCTCTGTTGAAAAATATGCAAACAAGTATCATAACCACACAGCATGTGTTTACCTTTAGGGAAGACTGAAGGAGGACTTCAGACTTTACTCTGTTTTATTAGACTCTTTTACAAAGCCAAAGTATTCATGAATTGCTTGGGTAGTTTATAAAAACCAAAAAAGAAACAAGAAGTTGTGGTGGTTGTTTTTTAAGAGGCATCACAGAATTTGAGAAGGAATCATTCTACAGTCAAAGCCCAGGACAGAAGTAAGAAGAAAACAAAGATTTAGTAAAAATATAAACACACACAGAGACAAGAATTGCTACTTCTGATAAAACAAGGACTGGAAAGAGAAAACCCCAACTTAAACAATTACTTGTCCCCTAAGTGTGAATACGGGTATCTCCTGCTCAGGAAGAGCCTTCCCAGTTTCTAAGGCATCTCTAAGTCTACCACCACCCCTTTTAAAGGACACTTATCTTTGTTCCCACTAAGCTGGGAATCTGTGTCTCATAAACACCTGTAACCTCATGCTAAGCTGACAAAGGGTTCACTTGCAGCATAAGCCAAACAGTTAAAGCCCCCAAAATTCATCTACAGTTTGATTTTTACAAACTCAAATAATTCCTTCCATCCCCAACTCCCCATCAAAATTGTTTCAGAACTGGTTTGGCCAAATGCCACACCAGCTCATGCATGATTAAGAAAGCCTACCTCCTCTACATGACAAGAGAACTTTATGGGTGGCTTCAGAGCAGAGCTCCAGGAGTGAAAAGCAGTTATTGTACCCACATGTGGATCAAGGAATTTCCTGTGACTTACCTTGAAAGCTGCAACTTTTCCAGATATGAAACAAGCAGATCTGATCATTCTCTTCCTGGTTAGTAATGGCTGAGGACACAGAACCTGAACTGTCTCTTCTCTCTATAAAGAAACACCACAAAGATGTATCAGCTTCCATGGAAGCTTCACTTATAGGGTTGGAGTAGTTCAAGGCACAAAGAAGAGAAATTCCTCCTCCTGTAAAGAGGATTCATTCATCTCTCTGCACAAGAAAGGTGGGGAAGCAACCCACAAAATCCTTTAATGCTTGGGATGAAAGCACTAACACATAAAGGTGGGCCCTCTGCTTTTTAGGAGCCAGGGAGCCCAAGGCCAAATATAAGATGCCATGGGAACTCTTCTCAGCTCTGGCTGTGCACTCAATTCACTAGGAGGCCTGTTTAAAGACAGACATGCCCAGCTCTGTCCCAGACTGACTCAATCAAAACCTCCAGAGGTGGAACCTGGGGAAAACTACTATCACAAACATTGAGACAGGCTTAAGATTTCATCGGTGATGATGATCTAAGGCAGTGATGACATCAGATGGCAAGTAGAAGGCTGTATTTTATAAACTGCATTTAATTTTAATAACAAATACTTCTTAATGAACTATTAGAATCAGGTACAAATACCAAGGAAAAAGCAATAAATGGAAAGCTTACTTCTCTAAATAAAATGTCAATTAACTTTAGGTTAATTATAATAATTTTAATATAAAAAGGGCATGTAAGTGATTTCAAAGTTTACCTTTACTAGTAGCACTACAGTGAGCCTTTACCTAATAGTTACATTTAATACTCCCCAGTTACCACAATTTAAGCAAGCATATAGCAAACTCTCTCTGCTTAGCATCACCTGTCATTCTGTTATTTGTCTTCCCTTTTCTTTTCATGGGCCCGTCAGACATCCACAGGTTGGGCCTCAAATCCTGTACCTGTGGGGTCCTGGAGGTTACCTTCCTCTGTCCCCAACCCTCGCTAATAAGGCCATAATAGAATTGAATTCTTTGAGATCTATTTAAAACAAAACCTGACTACTTCTAGGCTTCCTGGTATTGAAAGAAACTAGCCAAAATTAATCAAAGAAAATGTAGAGGAAAAAAAAAACATATCAAGGATAATTGTTAAATATAAAAATCAAGTAAGATTAGTGTGATTAGTTTCTCTGCAGGGAGTGCTGACACCTAATATTTTACAGAGGGAGTCTATTAAAAATTGAACATAACTATAGCTAACAAGTGGGTCTGACTGTGCATCCCTCAGGGGAGCTGTGTCTCATAGTCACCAAGACCTAACCAGGGCCCAGGACAGTGACTAGCACACAGCAAGCACCGAAATTTGTTGAATGAAACAATGGGGAACCCAGAATGACCAGTCAATGTTGTGAAATGCAAGGGATACCAATGTATCATAGCCTCTGTCATGTCATTTCTCACACAACAGGGACTCAAAAAATACTTACAGAAGCCGTCTCTGCTCAGAATTCCCTCATGTACCTGTCACTAAGCCTGACATTCTTTTTAACAAAATAATTATTATCCTAGCATGCTCACTCTTTCAACAAATGCCTAAGTGCCTACTGTGAGTCGGGCACTGCCCAGGTGCCAGAAATGAGCAGTGAACAAAGCAATTTTACAGTGACTAAAAAAAAAATCCACTTATTTTTTCAAGAAGAGGGTCAACATTAAACTATGCTTTATTCACTCATTTAAAAATAAAAATAGAATGCAATGCAAAGGATATCCCTAGAGTTGTGAAGCAGGGCATTCTTAACTTTGGGGTCCTACACTGAAAGGCAAGCTCTCCAGGGAGTAAAGGGATGACTACACAGAGATGCAATCTCCCATCTCAGTGCAGATCAGACCCAGCAGGAATTACTCCCTGTCAATACCAATTGGCATTTTTCTAGATTGTCTTGCTTGTTTACGGCCATTTCAACTCATCTTCACAACCCCCACTAGCTAGAAAGGGATCATTAATAGCGTTTTACTAAACAAAGCACAGACTTATGCAAAGTCACACATTCCATTTAAGGGCCAGCTGGAATCCAGGAGCCCCAGCCCAGGTCCTTACCAGAAGTCCTCTGTGGGCCTGGGACAGAGCTCCTATTCTTGATGTCATGAGCATTTCTGTAAATGGAAGGCAGCCTTTGTATCAGGTCTGAGCTCATGCCTAACTTCTGTAGTTTTTCCAGAGTCTCAAAATTAGACAGATTATGAGATCTCTTACAGCCTGTGCCAAATTTGCATTCACCCTGTAAAAAATACTGGCAGACATGGAGTTTGCTACATTTCGTCTGAAAGGCACAAGAGCCGTGGAGTCCATCTCCTTTGTTGTAGTGAAGGCAGATCTGTTGACAGAGGAAAAAGACAGCAGCTTAGGAAGACCTCACATGATACCATCTCCCTACTGACCAGGCTACTGGTTGGAAGACCTAGCCACTGCCATGATTCTGTCATCCACATAAGCCTCACAGCTATGAGAATATCCCTCCCTCTGGAGGGATGACTGTTAACATATGCCCTTGGCTAAAATGGAAACTGAGTGGATAACAGACTGCACAGAACAAGCCCCAACACTAGGAAAATCCAAAGAACTTCAAGCTGATCAAAGCTTCTCCTTCACAGGAGACATTTTAATGTAAATTGATAACAGCTCCCAACAACCTTTACACTCTACCTACATCCCTCCCCCCAGATCCACCAGCTCTCCCCTACTCAGGCCCCAGTTTCTCCTAACTCTTTATTCTACAATTCAGGGTCAAAGAGGCTCTGAGGGTTTAAAGTATCTTAGAGAAGGCCACACAGAGCCTTTATTTCTCAAGGGAACAAACAGACTCAGCCAATGTTAACTGGCTTATCCTAGGTTGCAGAGCAATCTACCACATCTGGCACATACAATGGCTACTGAACTGCGTTGCTGGCAAAACTGGAACTTGAACTTGAATCAGCTGCTCCTTCTGTACATTCTGAATTCCTGGAGATGCAAACTGGGCCAGAGACCACTAAGGGCCCATCCACACAATTCACAGCTATTACACCAAGCAAGATTCAGCAGGAACCCTAACCTATGGATGGAAGCCCCAACGGGAAAAGGGCAGAGAAGGCTACACCCTAACCTTGATTCTGCCACTTACAAGCTTCCTTGGGCAAGTCACTCACAAACTCTGAGTCTCAGTTTTTCAATCCATAGAATGGGAATAATCCTACCTACATTGATAGGCTACTGTGAGGATTAAATGGCAAATATATGAAGTGGCTAATACAATGCCTGGAACACAGTGGGTACTCAATTCATGGTAGGGGCCCCCAACTCCAACTGGTCATCTGATAAGCGGACTGGCCTGATAGCAGAAGTGCTGGCACAAATGCCACACTAGGTCCAAGTTTATGGTCTCAGCTCCCATTTGCTGGCACTGTGTTCTGAACCAACCTGTACACCCAAGCACACAAAGGCTACACACTCCAGACCGGTCACCTTCCAATTCATTTTTCACACCACTGACAAGAGGATGTCTCCAAAACATGAATGCCCACTCTGCAAGTACAAACCTCCCCCCACCCCTGCCCACTTCTTCCCTGTGACACAGAATGTTGCACGGATGAGCCTCTGCCCATCCATTTCTTTTTCTCCCCTCTCCAACCCTAAAGCCAGGTTGTGCTGATTTACATGCTGTCTCCTGACCATGCCAAGTTTCCTCCTCCTTCTGTCTCCCTCTTCCCAGACTTCATCCTTCAATCATCCTTCAGCACTCAGTGCAGGCATCATCTACTCCAGGACACTTTCCCCAGAACCCAAACTGTGCCCCGAAGACCTGGGCGCTGACTTCTATTAGAGAATCTAAAACAGCATTTCACAATTATCTGCTCACTTGTCTGTCTGACCCAGGAAACATGCCTCCTGGAAGGGCAGAAGGGGGTCTTTTATCTCCTATCACCAGTGCCTGACCCATATAGAATATTCAATAAACATTAGCTGAATTAAATAAATACTAATTTTCAAAAGACAAAGGAAAAAAGTTAATGCCTATTAAATGCCAATCACTATGCTATGTAGCACCTTTTTCAAATGGATGATTTTAATTGAATAACATGGAAGCATTTTTGTTAAAATATGCCAATCTAATTTCTGTTGCCTCATTGTAGGAACAGTGACAGAGCATCCCATATAACCTGGCTGGCCACAGGAAGACACTGCTTCGATGTGCTGCAGAGCATAACTAACTTCGAGCCCAGCTGCTACCCTCTGAAGCCACTACCTGTTCACAAAGACCACACTCCTGCGGGATGCTCTCAGCCAACAACAGAGCATGCCATTTTAGGGAGGCCCAGGCCACCTCCAACAGCAAAGTCTTTAGCTCGGAACTTCCTGTTGGCCAGGCAGCAGCTTTCTTGGAAATGAGTTATAGTCAGGATCTCTCCCTGACCAGTTCCCTTCCATCCCCCTCTCCAGCCACAGATATCAGACCTACATCACTGCCTGAAGGCTCACCCCAACTACTTCTGCTCACCCTCTAATAAATCTCTCACACTTCTAATCCCATCTCGGTGTCTGCTTCCAGGAGGACCCAAGTCTTACATAACCACTGCAGTGAGCATTGAAACATGTGGTTACCTTGAAGGCAACATGAGAATTCATATCAACTAAAGTTCAAAACCCTGGGTGCAACGTCACGTTCAGGTCAGCAGCCCTAGAAAGCTTCTCCACAGACCCAACTGGGTCCAGTGATAACCTGCATGGTTCTAAGTCCTGCTAGACAGGGAGGGGCTAGCTGGAGTCTCTCATCTTCTTAGCTCTATAAATAATGTCTTGCTGCAGCCACTGGCCAAACAGACTCCCCGAACCTCACAGAAGCCCCAGAAAGGAGGCACAAACCCAACTGATACAGGAGGAGGCTTCAAGGGCAAGGTGAGCCCAAGGTCACAGAGCCGGGAATTCAATCTAGGTCCCTTCCAGGAAGATCCCAGTGGTCATGATGGGGGGGGGGCGCCTTGGTTTCTCTTCTGCCATAATATTTCCTATCTGGCCAACTTTCTGGCCTCTCTTAGTTCCTTGCTCATACACCCACCCAGTCCTGGCACTTACCAGGACTTTTACCTCTGGCAAAAGCCAGGGATCATTCTGCAACAAAAGCTGGCAGAGCTCACTGTAGCTGAGGTGGTCAACACCGTGAGTTTTCAGCACACTCATGTTGTGGTCCGTTGTCAAGCTGTGACTGTTCTTACAGTTCTTCCTGTAGAGAAGCACACAGCTGGTGTCACAAATGAACTGTCTCTCCACAAAATTCTGATGTTAAAGTCCTAACCCCCAACACCTTAGAAGCAATTGTATTTGGAGACGGAGTCTTTAGATGGTTATAAAGTTAAAAAAGAGGGGTTACAGGGAGGAGGACCAATCCAATCTAACTGGTATCTTTTTAAGAAGGGATTAAAACACAGACTCGAACAAAGGGAAGACAACGTGAGGATATAAGGAGAAGGTGGCCATGTATAAGCCAAGAAGAGAGGCCTCAGAAGAAAGCAACCCTTAATTAACTTCTAGCCTCCCGAACTGTGAGAAAATAAGCTTCTAGTCATGTAAGTCCTCCAATCTGGGGTCACTTGTTACGGTAGCATGACCAAATTAATACAGCTGGTAAAAATCAGTCTTTAAGATAATTTTACAAGAACATTTTTCTCCAGTGCTTCCATTGTTTAAAGCACTGGGGAAAAACCAGCATGTCTATGCAACCATTAAACATAAAGCTTATTTACAAAGAAAAGAGATGGTAATGTATGAATTCTAGAACCCAGAATATCACCTCTCAGCAAGTATCTGATGAGAATACAGGGCCACTTCCTGAAGAAGAGTCATAGCATACCAGTCACTGGATAGTTAAACAGTGGCTAGATAAATAAATGAGTGTGGATACCTTATGGCAGGGGTCTCCAACCTCTGGGTAGTGGACCAGTACCTACTGAGCCTGTTAGAAACCTAGGAAACCAGCTACACAGCAGGAGGTGAGCTTAAATGTAATGTGTTTGAACCATTCTGAAGCCATCCCCCACCCCCTGGCGTCGAAGAAAAAATGTCTTCCAAGAAACAGGTTCCTGGTGCCAAAAAGGTTGGGGACCACTGCCTTGTTTATACGTACTTACACACGCACACACACACACACATACCCTTGAGGCCCAGCCCTCTCTCCTCCTTCCCCCATGTTTTCGATCAACAAGCCCTTATTAAACACTCATTGTGAGCCAGGCACTGGCACCACACCCCAATGATCCAAAGACTTCAACTGACTGCCCAGGGCAACATAATCCAGAAGAGTCAGAAAAATGCCTGACTCAAGCACTGCCGTAACTCATACATCATGCTTATCATAAGCATCTCAAAAGAAAACTGAACCTCTGATCAACTCCCCGACACCTCTGCCATGTCAGTAAAAGGCAAAAACTTCCCTCTTCTACAGTACAGGTCAAAAACTTTGGAGTCATCCTGATTTCTCATCTTCTCTCATCTAGTGGAGGTGAATGACATAAAGATGACTCTAAAATGGAGCAGGAAGTGCAAGATCAGCTGTGTTCAGAATACATCAGTGTGGATACGAGGGGCACCTGAGCCTGACGAACGTGGGGAAGCAAATAAGAGAGGGCCTGAGACAAATTATTAGCATTGAGGAGGATCCAGACAAAGAGAGAAGGGAAGAACACTCTAGGCAGAGGAGCTAATAATCAATGCTGCCAGAGCCAAATCTATCTAGTCATTACAATGATAGCTACTAAAACTTCTTGAGCATTTACAGTGAACCAAGGATTGCCCGAACATTTTATGAATTTAGTCCTCGAAAACTCTATGAGGTAGGTGGTATTATTATTGCCATTTTGCAGGTGATGGAACTGAGGCTCAGATACAAAGTAGCTTGCCCAACGTCACCCAGCTAGCAAGGAGTAAGAGCAGGCCTCGGAAAAGGTAGCCTTGTCTGTGGGCTTGATCACAATGCTCACTGCCCCTAGGTACGAGATGGAAGTTGGAGACCCTTCCCAGATGTCACCAATGAGCAAAAGCAGCAGTGAGGATCTATTCTGAAAAAGCTGACCTGAAGTTCAGGAAGACCATTAGAGTTGCAGGAAAAGCATAGAAAATAAAACCAATCACATACACACTCCCTACGCAACTCAAACAGTTTGAGAAGGTGTGTGCAAGAAACTCTTGTGAGAAGAAAAGAGAAAGGTAAAGAATAAAGATGTGGAGTCTAATGAACAAAATAATCTAACAAAATAGGAATGGAAGCATAGATACATAGAACAGACTGACAGCTCTCAGAGAGGAGTGGCAGGTGATGGGGGCTGGGTGAAAAAGGTGAAAGGATTGAGAAAAAAAAACAGAGACACAGACAACAGTATGGTGATTATCAGAGGAAATGGGGGTGGGGGGAGTTGGAACAGGGCAAAGGGGAGATAAATGGGGGTGGAAAGAGACTTTACTTTGGGCAGTGAGTGCACAATGCAGTATGCAGGTGATGTGTTACTGAGCTGCACACTTGAAACCTGCATGGTTTTATTAACCATTGCCACCCCAATAAATTCAGTAAAAATGAGAAAGAAAACTTGGAATCATCCAGGCCTGTAAATACCAGGTGTCCAGATTTCCAGACAAGTAAAATTTAACCCCAAATTTTGGGAAGTAGCCTAAAAAGAGGGCTGCCACCTTTATCTTACCAAATACAGACATTAGCATTAGCAAGATCCACCAATTATTCCCATAATTCGATCCACCCACACACCATTTATTGTGCCCGCCTTTCTCTTCAGCTGCTGCTCCTCATTCTGCCCTGGGGTGCCTCTTCTCCACCAGTCTCTGAAGGCCCAATTTCCTCAGAGTTCCACCCTCCGACCCCACCTCAGATCTGACCCACTTCTGGAGCCAGAGCCTGTATCTCCTAACAACTCCCAAACCAGGCAGTCAGGGCCGTCCCTGGCTGTCCCCTCAAGAGTCAGACCTGTGGGCACACTTCAGAACAAAACCCTCTCCTGCTCGCTCAGCCTACAGTAAGAAAGGGAAGTAAGAGTCCTCTCTCAGTCAGCAACCAGAAAACTGTGCCAGCACCTCTCTCATGTCGTCACTACACTCTCATCAACTTCCCAGTTCTCCAGATTTTTCACTTCCCTTCTTCATCCCTTCTTCTTAGGGCCTTACTTGGGCCTTAGAATATTCTAATGTAGATATTTCTGAGCAGCTGCTTCCAGGCGGACTACATTTCCCAGCCCCACCTCCCCATCTAGGTGGTCCAGAGGATGCAGGTGGGAGAACATCTACCACTTCTAGATCTGGCCCATAAAAACCTCTCTTCAACCCTCTACTGTTCATCTTCTCCACCTGCTCCCTGGAACTGGATACGCAGAACAGCCTTAAGAGCCATAGACTGAGGAAGGCAGAGTCTAGGTCAGCCAGCCTGTGTTCCTGAATGACTGTTGGGATCAGGAGCCCTACCTCACGCTATTGGGCCTGACTGAGCAAGAAATGTCTACTGTGTTAAGACAAAAAAAAAAGAAGAAGAAAAGAATTCTTTTAGATGACTGGGCTAATTCCTAACAGGTCTCTGTGACATTCGCTTATAAAGAGCATCCACATCAAGATGCAGACCTGAAGACTCCTCTCTCCTGCCATGTCACAGGTTCCTCTCACCCTCAGGGGTAGGTCCAAACCTAGTCCATCCACCTCACTGAGCATCTGCTGGATGCAGAGCAGTAGACCTACCACACCCGCCAGGGCCAACAAGGGGCACCTCCGCCTTCAGTTTCCATTCTGCTGGGCAGGGGGGGGGGGGGGGGTATGCTGGGTAGGTGCTATGAGAAAAGTAACCAGGACAGTGTGATGGAGACAAAGAAAAGGGCTCAAAAAGTAAAGTGATATTGCAGCTGAGGCCAGAAGGATTCACAGAGCAAACCAGGAAAGGCATTCCAGGCAGAGCAAAGGCCACCAGGTGTGCAAAGGCTGGGAGTGTTCCAGAAACCAAAGGGCACCCTGGAGGGACAAGGCTGAACATCAGCCTGAGCCAGGTCCCCAGGGACCACAGGGACGATGATGTGGAGCTTGCATTTTACTCCAAATGCCACCGAAGCCTCTATCGGCTGAGGGAGCCGCCGGTGGCGGTGGCGTGGCCCTCAAAGCTCTAGAAATGGACGGTGGTTGTGAGGCAGGAGGCAGCCCAGGGAGAGCTATGAGACTGCACTGCTGTTACTGGCCAGTCTAGCATCCTGGTTGCCAGGGAGCACCTTTTACCACTTAGGCAGAATGAACAGTAGACCCAGGCAGGGAGGAGGCTGGCAGACTGCTGCTACTTCAGCAGTCCCGAGCCCGGCCTGATAATACTGCCAAGTGTCCAGCATCACAAGAAACACTACGTTAGCAAGAAAGGAGGGAAGACCTTGAAATTCTACACAGTGTTTCCACTATCTGGAAAGAAGGCCTTGAAACTGCTTTCATCCCAGGGCCTGGAATGCGGGAGAGGGTCTGCGGTGCCCAAAGAAGCAGCGCATAAAGCAACTGTGGTTAATTGCCTACCTCTGGTCACTATCTGTTTTACGAGGGAGACCCTGATGCTTACAGAAAGAGCCCATAAATAACTTCGGAAAGTGGCCCAATTTTAGTTAACTGCCTCCTTCACCTATTTTTTTTTTTACAACAAGATGAACAAATGGGGTCTGGAGCAAGGTAAGGATTCTGGTTAACAGACCCCCACACACACCTAAGTCTGGGCAGTCACCTCCCCTAGGAAAGCTGGCACCACCTTTACCCGTTAATCAATATGAATTTTTCCCTCTCTTATCCCACCAACTATGCAAGACCTCGGAACAAAGGACTTGCGCGCTCGCTCTCCCCGGGGCTCGGGGCTCTCTGGACCGCCCGGGGGCTTGCCGCCCTGGTCTTCAGCCGCTCTTACTTGGGCCGCCCTGCTTTGCCCTGAAACTCTGCCTTTCACCCCCCACTCTACCTAGTCCCGTTCCCTTCCGTGGGGACGCATCACTACTACACTGATTACACGCGAACAGATTTGCTGAGCTGCAAGTCTTCACAAGCGTCAGCAAGAAGAACCAGGTCTTTCCCGTCAACAGCTAGGGAGCCGAGAGGCCGGAGGCGGCCTCTTTTCTTCAGGAAAGCCCCTCCGCTCCCTCGGCGTCCACCCGACCCCCCACCCCACCCCGCCGCTGCCCCCCGCCCCGCGCCGCGCTCGTCCCCGCCTCCCAGTCGCTCAGAAAGCAAGAGCCTGGAGAGCTCGGCTCCGCCGGGCACCCCCCCCTCAATCACTGCCGCGTATTCAGTGGGTGCTCAATAAATGTTCGCTGAGGAGAAATAAGGGGGAAGGGTCGCCAAATCGCCTCCCCAGACTTTAAGCACGCAAAGCGGGCCGGGAGGCGGCGTGCCGGGGGCCCCGCCCCGCCCGACCCCCGGGACCCGCCGTCGGGCCGCGCGGCGCCTTACCCGGTCTTGAGGAACTTGCAGGCCCCCAGGACCATGAACTTGCAGAAGTGCAGCTCCCCGCAGAGCCCCAGGCAGGTGGGCTTCAGGCCCTGGTGGCCGCGACACAGGCGCAGCGCCGAGACGGCCAGCACCACCCGCTCGGAGCCCGCGGCCGCGGCCGCGCCCCTCGCCCGCGTCGCCACTGCGAAGCGCCGGCCCTCCCGCAGCAGCCGCTCCAGCTTGCCGGCGCCGAAGCCGTCTCGCAGGCGGCGCCGCAGCTCCTCCGTCTCCAGGGCGCCCCCGGCCGCGCACAGCACCTGGGTCACCTCGGCGACGGCTGCGGCCAGGGCCATGGCGGAGGCGGCGGCGGCCGCGATGGGGTCGCACTGCCCGTCGGAGCGGCCGCTGGCCGGGCGGATGCTGAGCGGTGGCGGCGCCAGTGGGAAATGAAACCGAAAGCCGCCGGGGCCCGGAGGAAAAGAGAACCCCTGCTGGCTCGCCACGCCCACGGGCCCGCAGCTGAGCGGGGCCCGGCGCCTTCCGGCCTCCGCGCCCCCGGCGGAGGCGGCCGCCCAGCTGGACCACGAAATCATCCTCTCAGCCGGCAAATCGCGGGCGGCCTGACCGCGCCCCGGTTCGCGGGGCCCTCGGAGCGGCTGTCGGGCCGCCGAGAGGAAACGCGCCTCACGGAGCCCTTCACCTCGAAGAAGCGGGGGCGACGCCCGGGAGCTCGCGTGGCCGCCTCCCCGGAGGCCGGCGCGTGCGGGAATCGCGCTTCCGCCGGCTCCGCGGCTTCTGCGTCCCGCGCGGCGGTCGAATGGGCTGCGACGCCCCCCTGGGAAGCCGGCCGAAACCGGCTCCGACGTCGGCCCGCGCCGCCCGACGCCGTGCGTCGACGGGCCCGCGACCCCCGGCCGCGCCGCGCCAGACAACTATCACTCCCAAGCGCCGAGGGGGCCGCGGCGCGACCTGCGCCTCAGTTCCGCCCGCGAAGCCCTGCTTGTGAACGCAGGGGAGCGTACTGTTCTAGAAAAACCAGCCCGTGTCTCCGCGCTCTCTCGCGCGGAATAAAAAGAGTGTGTAGGGATAGGCCATTCCGAGGACAGGGAAACGGTGCGGATGGGAGCGAATTTTTGGAGCCGGAGAATGGCTACGAGCAGTTTCCGCGTGCGTGACCTTTGACCCAGCTCCTTCCTCAGAGAATCCTCTAGAACTAAAAGGAGTAGTACCCGAGTTGTGCACCCGAATGTTTACGTGCGGGAGGTTGGGTACTGACTGGGTGCAAGGCTTCACCATTACCCACAAGATTATCCAGCTTGAACAACCATGTATTCAATCTCCGTTTATTGACCGAGAAGGAGGACATCGATGACGTGTTAAATGAGAGAAGAAATCTGGGTAGAAGTGGCGAAACCGAGAGCGAAGAGAGAATCCCGTGTGTGTGTAGAGATACTTTTGAGTGAGGCTGGGGAAGACGAATGCTGGGCTGCTGGCGTGAAGGTTGGTTGCACGGAGGAGGCCGGCGGTACGAGGGAAGTGGAAAAAAGATAACGAGGGGTGGAAAGATTGTGGTGAAAACACAGCATTACAGTAACTTGAGCGTCAAATTCTACATTACTACCGAAATGTAAAAATCTAGTAAGTGTGCGGATGAAGCGTAATAGTAACGTGAACAAATGGAAATAAATGAGGGGATGGGATGAGGGGCAGTTTTTCTCTTTGATTCGAATTTTTTTGAACTTGTGTGGAAAGATTAATTTTTTGTGAACAATTTTAATTTTTAATTGTGGTTTTAATGTTGTACAATAAGATAATTTTAAAAAAAAAAGAAAGGAAAGATGTCAGTGAAAATGCTGGGAGCAAGGACCTCCGAAAGTAAAACTGGCAAAAAAAACAACAACAAAAAAAAACGTCAGAAGTAATGTTTTCTGAGCGGCGTGAACTAACCCGCCGTGCAGGAACTCACTTAGCATTCAGTCAAGAGAAACAGCTGAGCCCGGACGGGCGTGGCTCCTCCAGTAAAAGGAAACTCACCCGTTCGAAGTCCCGTCAGGGCACACGCCCGAGCCCTGCGCTGTGGGTTCTGCCCCCAGTTGGAAGAGGACTCAGAACAGGACAGAGAAGAAGAAAAACCGCTGAATCGAAGTAAGTAAGCACATCAAGCTTTGTAGCATTCCACTGTACCCTAGTTCTACCTCGTCCTCTCCAGGCCTTGAGAATGAACAGCCCACACTCCTGGAGCCTGGACCAGACCCAGAACGGAGCTGGAGCCCCTGCGAAGCCTCTGCCCCGAATAAGTCGTCACCGGACCTGTCGGGTCCCCTGGAAGACGCCCTGGAAAGGCTGGATTTATCCCACCTCGCTGGAGCCAGCCCAGTCCCAACGGCTTCTCCCCACCGGTGGTTTACCGTTTAAGTGTTCTAACATCATGACTGATGGGGGCCATGGATAACAGTTGGGGCAAACAATAAACTAACCAAAAAGCCTAAAAGTAAAAGCTGAAGAAGGAGATGTGCGTTGGGGTTTTGCAAAGCTCCCAACTTCTCTCTTGGAGCCTGTGAGAAGGCCACATGCGTGCCTCACAGTGGATTCTCATTATTCGGGGTAGTGGTGGTTGTATTCTATAAAATCACCACGAGCACTGAATTAGAGGATGCTAAATCACTGCTCCTCATGAGGTGCAGGGTGAAGCTCCTGTGAGCATCTGCTCACATTTTTTGACAATATGGATTAACGCACCACCTCGTTATATGTGTGTTTCTGTTGAAAGACACCAGTGTGTTTTGTTGGTTCATTAACATTGAACCCCCATCACTATAGCGCATGCCTGAACGAAGCTCACCTAACGTACGATTTTCTCCATAGGGCACATCACAGCCTGCTTGCTCTTAGGAACACCTGACAGCCCCTCAGCACAATGCCTGGGGGTCATTTTAAACAGTGAAGTTACCAACAAAAGGCCAAAAAATGTGAAAAGCATGCACTAAAATAGACCACAAAAAGAACACTTGTTTACCCGGTGGGAGGTGAAACAAGAGGCAGAGTGTCCCCTGTGTGTGTGTGTGTGTCCTTGAACGATCATGAAAGTACACACACAGAGATTTGGGTTATGAGTAAATTTGACTGCATACACACACTTGCAAATACAGAATCTGTGAATAAGGAAGGTAGACTATAAATACTGCTCAGAGTGCATCCCTCCTCTGGGCTATGAGATCCCTGTACCATCACCCACCAGGCATTGGCGAAGTCCTTCCGAGGAGCAGGTTCAGGGGCAGAAGGAAAGCCCCAAGCCCGCCTGGCTCTCTGAACCTGCTGCACCTGGGCAAAGTGGCTCCACAGCGAAGCTTGCAGATGGGCGCACAGACAGGGTAAAAGGATCCAAAAGCACCTGGGCCCAGCTGTATCCACAGCACACTCTGGCTGGGGTAACGGGAACATCACTGATGGGCAGAGGTAATCCCCACAGAGGGAAGAGGAAGTCTGCACTGCTGACAAGGCTTGACGCAGGACAGCGGACAGCACGTGACCCCACACCAGGCTGCAATGCCATCACAGTGCTTTCGCAGTGCTAGATGCTAGCACAGTGCTTTCTCACCCCCTGCTCTGATGACAGAAGGGGACCTATCTTATTCCCACTGACCTCCCCAGAGCCTAGCCAGTACCTGACATGGGTAAACATTTGAGAAAGTTAAGTCAGCAAATGTCACCCACAGGGAACTGTATTCATCCCTGGGGATTTGCTCTGGACAGGGCAGGACTAGAAGCCTTGCCCCCCAGCTTCATCTGGTCTAAGGCCAAGGGATCATCTCAAGGATAGTAAGCAGGCCAATGACTGTAAAGGAGCACATTTCTTATGTGCTGGGCACAACTGATCTGGTCCATGGATTCTGAGCAGATAATATGGTAGTGAGAAAAAAAATTTTTTTTTCTTGAAACATGGAATTACAAATGTGACTGAGAGTTATTGTGTATGTATGACTTGACCCATTTGTGTTATGGGTTGAATTGTGTCCCCCTTCAAAGTTCAGATGTTAAAGTCCTAACCCTGAATACCTCAGAATATAACTATATTTGGGTACAGGATCTTTTAAGAGATAGAATTAAATTAAAATGAGGTCATGAGGGTGGGCCTGAATACAGTATAACTGGTGTCCTTATAAAAAGAGTCCATTTGGATACACACTGAGGGAAGACAATAGGAGAGACACAAGGGAAGATGGCCACCTACAAGTCAAGGAGAGAGGCCCAGGGTAGATGCTTCCTTGTTAGCCCTCAGACAGAATCCACCCGCTAACACCTTAGTCTCCAACTTGTAGCCTGGAGAGTGCTGAAAATACAAATCTGTCAAAGAGACCTGGCTTGGGGCAACTGGTGCATGATGCAGTATGCAGATGTTTCGCTGAGTTGTGTACACTCGAAACCTGTATGGTTTTGCAAACCAATGTCAGCCCAATTAAAAAAAATCTGTTTAAGCCACTCAAGTCGGTGGTACTTTGTTAGAGCAGCCTAGCAAACTAATACCAGTAGTTACCCCCCAAACCACACCCTTACCTCCCGCTGGCAAAACCTCAGAAGGGATCCCTCTCTGGAGTGTCATCAAAGTCCTTCCAAACCCCACAGACTGGCCGAAGTCTACCTTCATCCCCCACCTCCAATGTTGTAACTGACTGACGCTCTATTCTTGACTGTTACTAATCAGACTTGGGGAGGATCACTGCTGCTGGTTACTGAAGACTATGAAGGCTGTATCCTGGGTGAACCCCTAAGCAACTCCTTCCCTGCACATCACATTGCCCAGGAATTAGAACAGCCAACAGCATCCACGAAGGGTCCTGCTTGATAGCTCTGAAAATGCTGCTCAGTGGAATCAAGCAACTCAGGAAGCTCCTTTTCCTTTGCCTTAGGTATAAATATCCTTTCACAATTCGGTACCACCTAATTAATCTGTTTTGTAGTTTTATAGATTAACGTTTACTATATTCTGTATTAAAGCAAGCACACCTATATAAAGTTTACAAAGCAACTACAATAACATTTTATGTTTTACGTTCCAAGTGAGCTATATAATCACATAATTTAGGTCATTAAAAACCTATTCTAAGTGTCGCAGGTTCGATTCCCAGTCAGGGTACATGCCTGGGTTACAGGCCATGACCCCCAGCAACCGCACATTGATGTTTCTCTCTCTCTCTCTCCCTCCCTTCCCTAAAAATAAAAAAAATAAAATCTTTAAAAAAAAAACAAACCTATCCTAGCTTCCTTTCCTTATTGTAAAGAAACTTAAAAACTCTGTGTTGATGAGTTTCTACACAGCTTAATAGTTGACAGAAAATGGAATTCTCAAACTGTATAGGCTTCTTTTCTCATTGTTCTGCTTTTATCTTTTACCTCATCCCTTCTAATCCCCCCCACCCTGCATCCCATCCCATTGTCAGAGAGGGAGGGAGAGAGGGAGAGAGAAAAAGAGAATGAGAATGAGGCTTCTTTCTCCTTATCTGGGTTGCTTCCTTTACCAGAGCCGTGGAGGGAGAGTGACCCATGAGAGGCTACGGTGTGGGAAGGGCAGCGGCAGAGCAGCTACGCTGTCCTACGGGGCCAGGGCCCGTGGAAGGGGTGCACGAGCCACGGCCTAGCTCTGCGACTTCAGGAATTCATGTTAGGCTCATGTATTCTAACAGTATCACGTGTCTCTTGTTTATAGCTAGTTCTTCACTAGAAGGTGGGATCCTAAAAGATAAACAGCATTCTTTCATTATGTGCCCAGCCCCTGGGAAAAGCACAGACTCAAACTTCAGTTGAGTGAAAGAATTTCAATCCAAAATGGATGCCTACAAGTAAAATTTTAGACTATAAATACCATTCCTAAAGACCATCTATTCCTTCTTAATAATTGAAAGTATAACACAATTAAAAATGACAGAAAAACCATTCACAAAAAAAGTAACATGGCCTTCAGACTTTTTATTAAAATCTTAGTTCTACTTATTTGCTAATTGGTGTGAAGCTGGACATGTTATTTATCGTCTCTGGCCTCAGTTCCACCTGCAGGATGGGTAATTACCTGCCTTGTCAGGTTATGAGGGAGAAATGAAAATATGCCATATGGAAAATAAAGATGTTGAGGGTTTCTATTCAAAAGCCTGTCTGCAGCAAAGCACCCAATTCCTCCAACTCTAAAATTAGGGGTGTGTGACACCCCACATTCCACAGTCTCACTGCCTGGTGGAAACGCAGAGGTAAGGCTAAGGTCTAAGGAGTTAGGTCCTGAAAATCAATCCCTAACAGATGAGCTTGATGATGAAGGGCAAACATCCCACAGGACGACAGGTGGTGTGTGGGTTTTTACAAAAGAACAGATTTGTTTGGGTTTAGCGTTCAATCGGCTGGAATAAAGCAGGCCAGGAAGAAAGAGGTGTGAACACACTTAGGGCACCACTCCTGTAACAGCTGTTGAGGTGCAGTTCAGTGGGTGCACTCTGGACCACCTACTCTTTTGCAGGTATTAGTAAATAGGAAGAACAGAGGCGGCTGGCCCTTCTGTTGCCTTGGTTTCCATGAATCTGCATTCGGGCTTCTTGTCCAGAGCAGACCCTCCACCCATTTCCTGCCCCCTCCCAGGCTCCTCTTCGGCTCTGAAGTACTGGCTCCAGTGCTCCTCCTTCTATCACTTGTGTGCCCAAGGCAAGGCCTCACCACCCTCAGCCTGTCCCAGACCTGGCTCTCAGACCCCACGAAAGCACTGTGTCCAAGATGAACTCATCTCCCTGAACTTGCACTTCTATGCCCACTTTCCCTAGGCAGCCAGGTCACAGCAGGCTTCTTTCTCCCGGGTGTTTCACAGATACCCCACACTCCTGCGGGACTGGGGCTTTGTCTAGTTCACTCCTGTAGCTCCAGTGCTAGAACGCCTGGTGCACTGCAGGTGCTCAGCAAATATTTGCGGGGTGCCCAGGCTGGGCACAACAAATGTTCTTACGTGCCCACCAGTGGCACCCGCACCCACGGCCACGACATAAACTCATCTGGCAATGACCCTTTTGTCTTCCTTCTTCCCCTTCACCAATTGCTTCCCCAGCAATGCATCTAATAAATAATATGACACATTGCTTTTCACAGTTAAATCTTCAGAAATAGTAAGGAGCCTAAGTTTGATACAGCTTTTTACACACTCCAATAATTCTCCCGTGTTCAATAAACAGAAAAAGGGAACAGAAAGTCAGAATTGGATATAGAATTCAAATTTTTTTCTTTCAAAGACACATTTTATACAATTTTCAACATTTATACTTTCAAACAAAATGAGCCAAAAATACACCCAGCGCTAAAAAAATCAAAACAGAAGTAATACAATTTTAATTTCAATATTTTAAAATACAGAAATTGGAAAGTAAGAATACCAAATACAACTTTAAACAAGTCACTTTCCTCCCCTCTAATAACCAATGTAAGCTATTTAAAGACTTACAAATTTAAAACAGAAGCAAAATAAATACTGTACACTTTCCCTGCCTGCAGGCAAAAGATGGGAAATACTGTTATGAATCGAAAAAAATGCTCTTAAAGCTTCAGCATCCCACTTCCCAGCCACACCCCACTCTGTAGTCGCACAGTGTGCTTCTGGAGTCCAAGGACACACATGTGCACACACACGGACTGCCTACACAAACAGACAAGACACTACTCTGCAGACACCCCAAATAAGAGAGGGTAACAGTCACTGTGGACCACGGGCATTAAAAATCAGTTAAGGAAAGTCAGTCAGGCTAGCAAAACATTACTACAAAACTAATAAATACCATAGCCAACAACTGTCCCCTTTTCAAATTTCACAGATTGGAAACCCCTAAAATCAGTACTACCCCACCGTATCACCTCCCTCTACCCCCATCCCCCCAAAAAAACCTGCTGAAGCACTGGCAAAGTTAGACATTTCACAGTAAATGTGAAAACTCCTTTTATATAATCTCTTCAAATGAACCTTTCACCCTCTTTCCACAGCATGAAACTGTTATGGCTTAATTTATATTAAAAGTAGAAAAGTCTTTTGGGAAGGAAATACAGTCTGCGAAGTTGCACGTGCATTTCCTCATCAGTGCTATTTCTTACCTAACAACTGCATGACTTGCGTTTGCAGTCAGAAGCTGTTTTGGAAAAACTGAGGTTATAGATTTTGATTCAGTCTAACCATAAATGTAAGGCCCTTAGTTTGGTTTAGGTTTCTTTTGCAAGATAAAATAACCTTAGGGTTCACGTAGCAAGTGGCCCCTTAGGTCCCTGACTATAATGTGGAAGTTATATGCATGCTTTGTAAAAATAAGAGGTTACTTATGAATCTTCGGGGGAAGAAATGACTCTAGGCAACGTATGAACTCCTCGTTACACAATCCACTTAATGCTGATAACTGTTACCAACCAAAACCTACCACAGAAACATGAGTACGTCCGGGTTACTTTATTCCTGCAAAATATTATATATTCCAGGACTTATGATCATTGTTTTGGTGAAAAATATTAGGGGAAAATCGCTGACACTTTGAAAAGGAAATGGCCGAACTAAAACTGAGTGGAGGCAAGGTTTATCTTTATGATTAAGTTCCACTTAGGACTGCTTTCTGAAATAAGGAAAAGTGAGCTCAGAATGTCACTGGTCTTGCATAGGTAAGCTACTTGGAGGTCAAGGGCTACGTGGTAGCCAGGGTTTATTAGTGAAACAGTGCAGAGCAGATCAGCCTGTTGGAAGAACCACTGAATACAATTTCAAAAGGGGTTGAACAAAAACCTGGATGTTGCACTTGTTAAGACAAAGCTTTAGGACACTAGAGAGGGCACTGAGGGTGAGAGGGAGGCTCTGCACAGGTAAAGGAGTACTATTTTCCCCTGTCCATCAGACAGGAAAAATAGTATTAAAGAAGAAAACCACAGTCAAACACGATAAGCTAATTGTTTTGGAAATAGGCATTTGCTTCTTCATGACTTTAATTTTTAAAATTCTGCTTATGTAAGGGATATAAAATATCTGACTTTTATGGCATGGTGCTCACTGACTGAGGAACAAAATAAAATAAGGGTAGGGCTTTTAGTAAGGCTACAGTAGGAAAATTACAGGAGATTACAGTAGGAAAATTACTTTAGTCCAACAGCAATGTAGTGAGTATATTTCCTTTCCTTTCTTTCACCTGGCTTCTAGTGAGCCCAGCAACATCATGCTCCACAGGACGAGAGGAGGCTGCACAGCGTCACAGAGCAGGGGCTGTGGCAGGAAGCACGGTCCCAGAGGTCTGGGATCCACTGTGACCCCAGGCAAACCACCGCCCCATCCGAGTTTCGTCTCCTTTATTTACTGGCAACACATTTTTCCTAATGGTCTGATGCTCAACCTTCTCAAGGCAGCTTTAGATGAAGGTCTAGAGCATCTGCAAACAGCTAGTGATCTTTAGCTTCTCTTTTTGGAGGGAGCAATTAGCCTAAAACTTCATGAGAAAAGTGAATTTTTGAAAATTGATCAGATTGACGTAATTAAGCTTTCACCTCAATGTGAAATCATAAAATGCTGATACACTGCAATAGTTACTCCTGGCAGTGGTACACTGCCAGAGTTCATTCATGAACTCTTTGGGGAATGTCTTGTCACTACAGAAAGCATCTCTTAAGAAAAGTGAAAAGAATCTTTCCCTTTGAGGATGTCCCATCATGTCTCCTTTCCTACACTACCACAGTGGTTTCTCGCTCTGCCCAGCAAGCCATGCTGGTCAGCCACACTGAGCTGTCTTTGTTGACTCCCATCTCTGGATCCACCTTGTCTTACCCCCTGGGTCCAGGGGTTGTTGCTAAGTCATTTTAATTCCATGACATTTTTCCCTTTCTCTAGTGCCTGAAGAGTAAGCAGACTGTGGAGCAGTACCATCCTAATTCCTCTTTGAGAAACACCTAAAACTATCTTTCAATTATCTTACGTCATCTTAATGATCACTTGAGGATAAAGATTACTTAATTGAGGATAAACATTATCACTCTTATCTATAAACTATTTCACTTTTCTTTCACTTCAAGCACTAATTTTGATAATGATTCAGCACCTTGTTAGAGATTCTTCAGATTTTTTAGGTAGCATGCTCTGGGCATATATTTGATATAAAACAAATTTTATGAGAAATGTTTTAATTTAAAAATGCATATTAATGTGCATTTGTTAATTATCAGTTGTAACTTAAATAATGATACATTAACTGCAAGTATGAAGTGTTAATAGATTAAGGAATGCTTTTCTATGTTGTTCTTAACTGCATTTTTATCCAAAATAAAAAATGAGAAAACTAAGACTCAGAAAGAATAAGTGACTTATTCAAGGTCACACAGCTGATATAAAAATGGCAGAACTTGGACAAAAATCCAGGTCTTCTGCTCCCTTCCAGGCTCAGCCATGACCCTCTACTGCCAACATTAAATTATTAACCTTTAAAGTGTTCTTTAAATTTTACAAATTAAAATATTTTTACTTCCACTTCTACATAGCATAGTATATCTCAGTTGAAACTAATGAAGTTATGCTTTCTGAAAGTGAATGGGCCCTCTTTTGCTTGAGTTCACTTAGAAGTTAAAATAATACTGCCTATTTCCTGGAGAAGATACCTGCAAGGGCAGAGACCACACTTCAACTTGACATTCCCCTACAGTACTAAGTAGTGCTGGGCACAAAGTAGGTGTTTGATAAATACCTGCGCATCTCATAAGAATAAATACAGTAGAGTTCATTAAAAAGGCAATAATTGGAGTTATTAAAAAACAGAACAGTATCCAAGGTAAGTATTTAAGTAGTAATAAAGATGGGCTTGTTTTTTCTCTCTGAGTTTATAAGATGATTTCAGTCAGAATTTTCAGTTTTGTATGCTTTAAAAATTAACTGATGCTTATGAAGTTCACTGTATTTCTAGGATACTAAACTATTACAAATGCCAGCCTGGTGCTGTTTACATGGTTAACCTATACTGGAGCATTATCTTATGTGACATTAGGAGTTACAGTACAGTGGATAGTAGGTTAACAGAAGTTCCTTATTTGAACCGATACAGGAAAATTATTATCTGCTATTACAATTAAAATTGCATACATTAAATCATAATTGTTTTACATATTTGTACTTGCTTACAACTAGCTGAATGCCACCACTGCTGCCTTCCTAAGCTGCAGGATCTGTATCTGTGCAGTAATATTGTTCGTAAATGAGACTGAGGGAAGGACAGAGGCTGTCGAGTCCGGACATGGCGGCACGAACCTCAGGGTTCAGTCATTCCCACGAGATAAAGGGATGCACCAGAGCCAGGAACTTTATGCGACTAGGAAAGTCACTGGATCTCGGTTAAGGCCGCCTCGGCCCCCAGCTGCTGCGGAGACCAGTGGTGCAGTACGGAGCAGATCTGAGTTAATGCTGGGTGAGATAGTGTAACGGACTGACAGTGGGGACTGAGTTTTTACCAGTTGAGAAAAAGACACATGTATTCGTTTGTTTTAGTGGTTATATGTATTACCTTACTGAAAGCTTTTTTTTTTCAACTTAGCCAGTTAATGGGCTAAAATTTCCAAAAACGAATCCACAGCACCCTTACTTACAAGTTCCGCACACTGTCTACTTAAAAATTAGTATTTACTGGCTTGAGTACAGCAGGTGAACACTGGCCACAATTTTAACTCACAAAAATAAATTGTTTTAATTTTTATAGATGAAGAAAAAATCAGGTAGTTAAAAACACTGATACCTGTGAAAAACGTAAAGAAAGCACAAAATGGACCCAGATCACGATCTGACTGAAAAATAAATTACAGCTCTTATTTCTTAAACCAAAACAAAAACATATTCTATAAACACACAAATGGTGTCTACAGAAAACCAAAACATCACAGTAATGTACTGTGTGGGGAAGGTGGGAGAATCACTCACACGCAGATTTCTGCCATTGTGAGAGCCAGTCACCAAATAGCTGGCTGAGCCTACCCTTTAACCAGTCTTGGCACGGTGCAGAGAGTTTACGTGGGCCGCTCACAGACAGTTAGGGTTTCTGCAAAAATTCTTCCTGATGCCCAGATAGGGCCCAGACTTTGATCCAGTCACTTGGACCAAAAAGGCTATTTCATATTTATTCCATGAAATATTGGAATGAAGACGGAATAAGAAATATCTCTTTGAAAGTACACATTTGAATGCAATTGTGAAAAACGATGTTATAGTTTTTTTCTTCCTTAACACTACACATGATATTAAATATAGAAGAGAAAGTCCTGCTACTTGCTGAGTAAAAAAAAAAAGAATATCATAATATGGCCATATTTATTCTCCATAAAAATAAATTTGATCTTATTTGCCTATATTTTCTTTGTAGGAACTTGTATAATGCTCTATTGTCAGAACTGGCAATATCTCCACCTTCTGCCCCGCCCCCCGAAATCACTTATTTTTAAGCCACGTGAGGGAAAAAGGGAAAATATTCCCTATTATTACCAACTGACATTTAGTAAAAATTGTGCATAAAGGAGATAAATGATAACTTCAAAGGTCAACCACTGAACTCACTATGCACTGGCTAAGTTAGGATAGAAGGAAGAAACTGCGAGAAGCACCCATTTTACTCCAAATCCACGTCTTAAATAGTTCTTTAGAAGGTTAAGAAATAAACTAAACAAACACACAAACACACACACACACACATCCCAAAAGATCTACTCCAACTGCTTGCTTCTACACAATTAATATAATATAGGCCTATTATATTACGGCTTATTATGCAGAGTTGAATAGACTAAGTCAAATCTTATTTTCCAACAAGTTAGGTACACAGAATAAACGTGTCATAAAATATAACCTTTGTGGCAAGTGTTGGTCCTGTCCCCCAACACCAGCACTATGAAGAAGGCCCTCTGTAGTTACAAATGCATTTGAAAAACTAGAAATATGACAATTTAACCAAACTTAGAATACTTTTCCCACAAACAGGAGAAAGATATTAAAGCTGTTCTCTTTGGGACCTAGATCATCAGCAGAAATGAAAATGCAAGAAGCCTTTCTGATATTTAGGGAAAAACTGCAATGTCCAACGAAATGAGAAATGTGGGCTCTTTTCCGTAGCTCTTACACATTGGCTGTGAGAGTGTTTCCCTGCAAAGAGAAGAGTCTTGTGTCGTCACAAATGTCCAGAGTGCAGAGGGGGAAGGCGGGATATATAAGGTCATCAACCTGGATAACAGTATGCACCTTGGATGTTAGCAAAAGCGAAGCTAATAGCTTATAAAAAACATGAAATATATAAAATAAAATGATTTTCATATACATCTTAATTTAAAATAATTAATGCATCAAATCCCTGTTTAAGACTTTAACCTGAATATCAAATTTAAGAGTCTAGACTAGTTACTGTTACCGTGGCTCTTCCCCACATGTAACACCCATACTATCAAAAATAATTTAAAAACCTTCACATTCTTAAATCTAAATTAGTGAGATATTTCTCCAGAAATCTTCCAAATAAATAGCTTTAAAAAAGAAAGAATTTAAAAGCTGTTAACTTTAAAAAAAAATCTGTTAAATAAATTATTGATAATTCTTTACCCTACCACTGAAAATAAATCAAGATACTACCAACAACAAAATGAAATTCAAGCCCTGACGAGAGACCCTTTTCAGTTCGAGGTCTCCTTTTAAGGTTCTACCCTCCTTCTTCCTCTCCCCCACCAGGTCCGAAATGGTTATTGCTGAGTGGGTGTGGCACAGTGAGAATGCAGCATCAGGTTCATCTTGTTCTTCGGGCAGTGTTCTCTACCGGACATGCACGGCGGGAGCTCCGGGCTCCCGCACCCCGAGACTGGTCTCCAAAAGGAAGAGTGGCCCCCACAGCAGCTCCGTCACACAAAAAAACGTGCATGGCCATTTCTGTTCAACTTAAGGATCTTCCCAAGGCGTTGTTTGGCTGTCGCCATTCCTTTTTTTGGACGTTTGCCTATAAAACACCAACAATCGTGTAAGTAATGATGAAGTTATACTTGGTCCCCAGGACCTGGAAGACTCAAAGGGAGGGCTGTGTGGTAAGCAAGGCTTTCAGGTGTTCCGAACGGGCCACGCCACACTCCTGGGTTCCACAGCTTAAACCCTGCGGTCTCTTCACAGGAGGGATAAGGCCCCCCCTCCTCCACAGGACTTCCCCGGCCCTCTCGGTCTGACCCCACCCATCTCTTCGGCATCCGCAGCACTCTGTGCTTCAGCAGCAGCAGACTGAAGTCCTGTTTCTCCCCTTCGTGCTCTGGGTCTTAGTATTTCCTTTCCTCCGACACCATCATGTCGCCTCCCCCAGCTCTGCACGGCTAACCCCTTACCATCTTTCTCAGGATCTACCTCCTCCTCCCAAAAGCCACTCTTGATCCTTGGGTGACTTGGTAGCCTGCCGTCCTCACAGAAACCTGTACATACCGTCATCACTGCGGTGTCCACAGTGCATCAGGCTGTGAGCAACCTGAGTGCAGATACTACCTCGGTCTGAACTGCCACGATCACCATCACACACAGTCAGAATTATACTTAACCTACAAATGTGTAAAAGTTACCTTTCGTTGCCTGGTTGCTGATAGGTGGTGGGTTTGATGCAGGTCTCTTGGTGGGGTGAAGGGGCACTGAAAAGGAAGTTTCACCAGCTGGCCTCTCTGGGCTTCCGCTACCATTACTCATCTGGCACGCCCCCGACGCCAAGCTGGAATTCTGCGTGTACTTCCCATTCTGAAGGCCTGAGCCACTGCTGTCCACAGAATTCCTGCTTTGTACCTTCTGGCTGATTTCTGATGAACCTTCCTTTTTGATGCATTTCTGGCCTCTATTTAGATCCTAAAGAATGAAAATAAGGCTGAATTATTAGGGTTCCTTTAAGGTAAGTGAAGTATTCAACCTCTCCATGCATGATCAAGCCAAGTAAGTAAAGAAATAGACTACTGAACTTGGGGTTTTTAACGTGCAGTAGCACAAAAGACTACCCTTCATGATGGCCATCTCATTCCAAAACCTAACAGCTCTGAAGGAGTCAAGTCTTGAAGTTGCATCATCACTTAAGCCAGGAAGCAAGCCTTATATATGAATGGGAGTGGGGGGCAGGCACGAAGGAAGAAGAAAGAGAGAGAGGAGAAAGGAAGAGGGGAGAGAGAACATGAACATAATTTCAATAAGCCATCCTAAACTCAGTGAGCGTGTGCTGTGGAAGGAAGCCAAGACAAGAGGTGTGGACCTACTGCTTCCTTAGCATGTCACAGCTCCCATACATCTCTCGTGATGTAACGCACTATCTTTTCTCTTTTTTAATCCTCACCTAAGAACACGACTTCATTGATTTAGAGAGGAAGGGACACACATGTACACAGAGACATCAATGTGAGAGAGAAACATCGATCAGCTGCCTCCCGTACACACCCTGACCAGGACTCAAACCCAAAACCTAGGTATGTGCCCTGACTGGGGATTGAACCCACACCTTTTGGTGTGTGGGATGATGCTCCAGCTGCACCACCCAGCCAGGGCACGCACTATCTTTTTCAGAGGTTACTTCTGCAAGGTTCCTCTCTACTGTATTTAAATTGTTTGCTAAAAAACAAACAAACAAACAAACAAACAAACAAATCCCCTAGATCCTGAGCCCTAAATCTGGTTTTCCTATAACAATTCTTCCTTCAGTCTCTTCAGATTACTAAGTGAACTGTCAGGAAACAAACAATGCTACTGATTGGTGGGTCTTGAAATCAACAGAGAGGGTCACGACCAGAATCAAACAGAGAAAGGAAAAGGCAGACTTGAAAAGAAAGAGTATACTGCAGGTGTGAAGGTTCACAAAACTAGTTTTAATTACGTGTGTGATGTAAAATATATCTCTGATTCTTTTTTTAACCTCACTTTCTGTATATCTCTGATTCTGTGGTGGTCAAAAAAGTTTTAAAAACAGCATTAAACACAGACTTGCCTTAAATTAGTCTTATATATATATATGCTTGAGCGTGAAGAAACTGTTACAATTTGACATGCCTGTAAAATATCTCTCGATTATAAGCAGAAGACATTTGTCTCTAAGGTGATCATGCTAATCATCTATCCTTTTTTTTTAATCCTCACCCAAAGATATGTTTATTGGTGAGAGAGAGGGAGCGCATGTGCACAAAGCAGCGATCCAGGCGCTTGCCTCCCATACGCAGATCGAACCAGCAACCTACCTAAGTGTATCTTCTACTTCTTTATTTCCAAAGACAACTATAAAACCAACAGTTAGATTTAAGTAACAGCCGACTTTTAACACTGACCCCTACACTGAGATTATGAACTGCACGCAGCTACAGTGAGGCACTGTAAAATCATATAGTGAGGAACTGAATTCTAACAGTTAAGGGATTTCTTACTTGACCTTTGACTCTGGAGCATATTCTTCTGTTAAAAGAACTTATACCGACAAACCTTCGTCTTCAAAAATAACTTGGCTCTTTTTCTTATTGTAAAAGTAAGTGGTGAGTATTTAGAAAATCTAAGTAAGCCAAGTGAAGAAAATAAAATACCCATAATTCTACTACTCAGAGTGTGCTTGGGGTCTAGGAGGTTTAGGGACCCCACTCTGCCACATGAGAATTTTGATTCTTTCTTTAGCTGTCATTTTCCAAGGTTTGCAGCAAAAGGTCACCTTGCTTTCCTTGCTTGGTGCTATTGGTATCAGTTTTGCTTTTTGAAGGAGCTAGTCTGGGTTCCCCTTGTTTGGTATGAGCATCAGTATGCTGGGACCCTAAGACACAAAGTGTCTTCTCTCAGAGCGGGGTTCCCGTTTGAAGTCAATGAGTGGTCTGAGGTGGGGTGGGGGTGGGGCACTAATCAGAAGAAAATGTCAGCAAAAGTCAGTATTCATAAGGATCATTTTCCCAGAAAGAGAATCTATAACTGTCCTCAAGTTCTCAAAGAAGTTGAGCATCTAAAAATGTTCAAGCAACAATGTCCGATATTAGAAAGAGATGCTCTGGTACTTTCATTTCCTTCCTTTTCATTCTAACTGAACATAACCTAAAGGTGCGGCCAGTACTTTTCAACTACTTCCTTGAATAAACTATTCTTTTCCAGATCACAGTCTACCCATGCCCTTTGCATTAGTCATCATATCCGAATCTCTGGAAATGAACAGTTGTTCAAATGTGCATTTAACTGTAGTTTTTTACCTTCCTAGCCCTAGTAGTTGGTAACTAGTTGCAGTTTAAAAAAAAAAAAAACAGAGTTAATGATGTTAATGACAATTATAAATCTCCTTTTAATATTTCAAACCTTGACTATACCTGAAGATTAAATCTGGAAGATGTATCAAACTGTTTAATCCAGGAAGAAGTCCTCAAGTCCTGATCTTCGGTCTTGACATGGTATCCTAAGGAGAAGTTTCAATTAAATTATCTTCACACAAACTTGATCTTAAAGAACAAAGTTAGCCAAATGTTTAAAAGTGAAAGCTAACTGTTGGTATTTTATTAAAAACGGAGTATGTTAATTCTTTAAATATTTATTCATATATGTTCACCACATTTCTTTCCCTCTCAAAAACAAAACAGTCACCAACTCACTATCTTACACATTAATTCTTTCAATTCTCTCAAAGGCTGTCTTTATATGACAGGTTTTATGCCTGATGCTGGAAGATCTAGAGTAAAATTCTACAGCCATCTGTTGTAGATATAAAACCAAATGCAATACGCACTCTGTAAAAATGATATATTTTCCCGTAGAGAATAAAGGCATATGTTTGTCTGAATTTTGCAGTATTTTCACAGAAGGTTTCTTTTCAAGGGACCAGACAGATTATAGGGAGAATGAATGGTATAGTGGAAAAACATATAAGCCTAGATTTGCATTTGAGTTCTCCCATTACCACTGCACCTTTAGGCAAGTTATTTAATCTCTCTAAACTTCAGTTTTCTTTACATAATAAGCAGAGTCCTGGGGTCAAATTCCAACACCACTGAATACTAATTATGTAAGTATGGGGAAGTGAAATTAACTTCACTAAGTCTTACTTCCTGTATCTGTAAAATTATATTACCTACAGCAAAATGTTTCAAGAATTCAGTGAAACGGATGTCAAACTCCTGGTACACGGGGGACACTTCACTGCGTGAGAACGAACACAACCGCTGTAACAGGCATTTGGTTTGCACCTAACACCAGCTTCTCGCAGTCCTCCTCAGCCGTTCAGGGAAACAAAATTTTCCCCGAAGGGCACAGAGAGGAAAAGTGGCTGTGGCATCACTGATGTTGTCCCTGAGCCTTCTCTCTTCCCTACCACTTCCTCTTCAAGCAGGAAAGACAATATCCTCCATCAGGAAGCTCAAAACTGCTTTTCCTCCCACAAAGGAAAAACTTTGTGGGTGACTGCTCAAGCTTAGCACGAAACATTCCTTCCACTCTGACCACCTTACGGAGGGGAATAATACCATCATCAATAGCAATGATCAAATTACGCTGGTGAACATGACTCTCAGTCCCAGTTCATTTACATTTTGAGTTCTTATAGTTGCATCTTATATAACTTGTCAATATTATGTATTTCGGGGCCAATATGTTTAGCACCATTTCCAACTAAAAATGTGCAATAAGCAGTTCTTATTTACAATCTCAAACCTCAACGAGCATTATAGAGCCATTAAATTGGGGGTCAAGGGTCACTTTGTTCAAGACTGAGTTTGTTTCTTACCACTTTCCACTGGTTTATCACAGCGATACAGCTGCCTAGCCTCGTGGTGACTGCTGTGGCAGCTGCTGGGGTCCTGGAGAGAGCTTCTTTCTCGGTCACAGCCTGTGCTTTGTACCCGCCTTTGTAAACACGTGGAGTAGTGCAGCCCTGCCATGGACAGCATGCCCTGAATAGCCTCCTCCTCTGTGCTCGTCGAGGTAGGACATTCCCTAAACAGCAGTTAACCGAAAACACAAGAGCCTGTTTAGTCTAATGACATTTTGGCAAAATGTGAAACTGAAAAAATGTTTTCGTATTCTTTATATCACAATGTCACGAGACTACGCCATCAGCAGACCTACCTTTTAACTGGAATTTCACTTCTAGATGTCTTCTGGCTCTTCTGAAGGAAGTTCCTCATCACATTAGATTCCTCCTTAAAGTTTGATGATATTTTTTGTTTCTTTTCATCACCTGAACTTTCAGACTCCTCAGTGGTAAAATTATTTTTCTGAGGTAAATTAAATGAAAGCAAAGCTATATAAGAAATCTAGCCAAGTCCATGCAAACTAACAAAAAATACTTTCTCTCTCCAGGGAAAGTTAGAATCTTTTTTTTTTAATCTTCACCCAAAGATATGTTTTATTGATTTTACAGAGAAGATGGGAGAGAGAGAGAGAGAAATACTGATGTGAGAGAGAAATATCAATCGGCTGCCTGCTATACACACCTTGACTGGGGACTGAACCCGCATCCCACATAGGTATGTGCCCTGACCGGCAATCAAATGTACAACCTTTTGTTGTACAGAACAATGCTGCAACCAATGGAGCCACCTGGCCAGGACAGGAAAGCTAGAGTCTTAATTATCATGGAATTATTTCTGTATTTCATATGAAAAAGTGAAATATGAAATACATGGCTTTCTCTAAGGTAAAATGAAGTATAACCTATGAGAAATATGAGAAACATATCAGACAAAGCTACATTCATCAGATGCCAATAGTCACGAGGTCTGCGTGTGTGTACGCATGTGTGTATGTGCCTGCGTGTGTATGTGTGTGTGATTATCACTACAGGGAGAGACCCTGTGCTACCAAGGTCAGGGAGACAGGTGAAGGGAAGTGGGGGTCCGTTTTTACATGAAATAACACACAGGGGCCAGGCTTCAGGGCTTACCAGTGCAGTGCAATCAGGTCCAGAGTCTTCTGAATCAGAAATATCAGAATATTCCGAAGATCGATTCCTGAGTTCTGATTTCACACTTGTATAAAACCCTGAGAAGGAGGAGGGAAAGAGAAGACCATGAGCAGGGTGCTGTCTGGAGTCGGTGCAGCTTCATGAAGTCTTCCCCTCCCCCGCTCTGCCCTCTGCTCTCTTCCACCTTCTTCACTCTCTTCCCGAGGACTTTCTCCTCCGCCGACCAACGTACAGGTCAAAGGGTATTCTAGAAACACTTCTGGAATTTACTGAACGTGATTATGAATTCCTTCTTTGGAAATTTTAAAAATACTTCTTTCCAGAAAATAAAGTCTTCAACACTAAAATAAGCTACAAAAAGTTTTTCAATTTCCTTTTGCTGTATTTCTTCCAATAGATAACAAAAAGATAACCCTCCTAAACCTAAAGAGCATTCACGTAGACAGTGAATTGAACAAGCTTACACACCGGGCCTTACGGCTGCCTTTCTTGCAGGGGCAATACCACAGAGCAACCGCTGACTGGCCACCTTCCCCAGCACGTGAGCAAATGCAGTTACCAACTACAGAAATACCACACGTACCGGAAGTTTGCAGGAATTAAGGTATTCAACACAGATGAAATAATGTTAATTATCTGGAACATTTACTTGTCGAATACCACAATATTTAACTACTTCCTAAAGTTGAAGCTCCCGAGGAGGAGGTATTAGTATTTGACACACCGATGATAACTAACCAATAACCAAGTGGAGGCCCTCTTATTATCAGGTAATGAAGGAAAACAATACATAGATTACTAATAGCTTCAGGTCAGCCAATTATACAGGTTTCCTAGTTCTGAAAACCATATAAATATTAGCTTGAATGATTAGTGAAGTCACATTCAACTTGCAACTGTTTTATTATTTGGAGTAGAGGCCCACAAAATGCAAGAGCTTTCATGTGACCCTTGTAAAAACGGTCGCCAGACGGGCGTGTCACTCACGCTCATCACTGCTCACATCCTCATCATTAAGAAAGCCTTCCCTGGGCCCTGCGGCTCTCTGGGCACCCGCATTCAGTCCCTAAAGGAGAAACTACTCGGAAACATCGCAGACTCCTCAGGAGAGTACCAGAAACAAAACCATCAATCCTAGTACAAGTGTAAGAACTTTAAAATTAGCAAGTTACTTCACCTATTAAGCACGTTAGCAATAACAGACCTTTACAAAGACCATTAAAACAAACGTACTGTTAAGTGGTTTTTGAGATTCTTCATTCTCCACTGCCTCTATTCCTGAACTCTCTTCTACCTTCATTTTTGCCTTTTTTGTCCTCCTCTTATCCTCTTCATTTTCACTATCTACTGTATAGAGACTTTGATCTGCGAAGGGTTGTCTTTCATCTCTGTACATAGAGGGAAAAATACAGTCAAAAATAGTGCAACTGGGCGGCCAAACAGCATCCTCCACCCCCTTCATTTCCGAGAGAGTGGAGGGCCGAGCCACTTTCCCCGTATTTCAGAGAGCTGTGCAACCACTCGGACTGGAAATGCAGTAAACAGAGGGAACCCCCCACCCCCAAAGCTGATTGGCTGGATACTTTGATCCAGTTTACATACTTAATTATCCTTCCGTTTGTCAGCAGCAGTCGTAGATCGTTGTCTTTTGCTCTCCACTCCGGTACCGTAGAAGACGGCTGGAGATGTTTGTTGAATTTGCCGTTCAGTTTAGAGCTCAAGATGTCCTTAAGATGTAAACACAGAACTTAATCTCCGCCCTCTGACACAGCTGCTTGACTAAAGGCACACAGTGTGCCACCGCCTCCGCCCTTGACCCTGCATCCCAGCCTGGGCCGGGCAGCCTCTCGGGCTGGGGGGACAGGCAGCAGTGTGCTGCTAAAACCAAACGGTTTCTAAAACCAAAGCAGCAATGTGGTTCGTCTCTCTATAGAGCCATTAACAGGAACCATATTCTGAAAGTAGGATATAAAACTTGCATAGGGTGAATTCAAAGACATTCCACTTCTGCAGAAAGTGCTGGCTGTGTCCTTCCCAGTTTCCCTGTCTCTGACCTCATCCCCAGTCTTGCCACCAGGCACTGGCAGCAATGCACAGGTCACCACACTGCACTCACTAGGAACAAAGGCCACCAGGCGACAGAAAGGCACACGGTAGCTGGTTTTTAATACACAAAGAATGCTTCCTTTTGTGGTAATTTTTTTCTTTAATAATAAATAGAACCTTTCATAATGTGCTAACTCTTCTCTCATATGGCTATAGGTTAAGGGGATTTAGAACAATAAAATCTTAAAGTAGTATAAATATAGTTACATAGCATTTAAAATATTCAAGAACATTCAATTTTTCTATGCAGCTTTAAAAAATATTGTAGTTCAGAGATACCTCTGTTTTGTTCATTTTAAATGATTGCCTATCCTCTACTTAAGATGTAACATTATGGACGGTACAGACCTCATTGCGAGCTCATTACCATGTTTCATAAGGCCGTATATTGGTTAGATGACTGTCCCCCCACCCTCCCCTTGTCTGTCAGGCCAGCGTTTCTTAAACTTTAATGGGTTTATTCTAACAGTCATCCACGCTGGTGCTGTTGGGTCAGGGACAGGTTTTCTGCACCTGTTGCAGGTGCAAAACTGCTGGCAAAACTGTTCCCCAAATCTGTGTATCCACCTGACTTCTTCCCATTCAGTAAGTGTCCATTCAGATGCCACCACCTGTGAGGCTCTCTGACCGCCTGAGCTAAAGCAGCCAGCCACCCCAAGCCCCCGTATTCTAGTGCCCTATTGTTTTGGCTTCCTTCATTACACTCACTACCAGAACTTGTATTGTTTTAACATATGTCCCTGTCTCTCATCCCCCCACCCTGCGCTAGGATGGAAGCTGCAGGAGAGCAGGGACTTAAGCACTGCTCTCTCTGGGATCCTCTCTAGAGCCTGTAAGGGCACGTGGCCTTGGTGAATGCTCGATCAACATGTCCAGAACGAGGGAGCTCTCGTCACCCTCCTCCCACACTGACGCCCAGGGAGCTGAAGCACTGTCCCTGACATGGTACTCGCTCTGCTAACCCCACAGTGCGAAGGGAAGATTAGATAACAGGAACGGGCAGGCTGTCCTCTTTTTCAAGAACGTGAAGGAACAACCAAGACTCTTCGTAATCACGAAACACAGTACTTGCCTCTTCCCACGGACACATCTCCAGTCTCCTGAGGACCTCCCTGGTGTGGAGCTCCAGGATGTCTAAGTTAGAAGGGGTTCGGACAGTGTGATCGCGAAGCTTCCTCATCTTCCGTCGGGAATGGTATGGGGAAGTTGCTTCATTTGAGGATCGTGAAACTGGACACACAGTAGGGATTCCCTGAGATTTAACTGGTTTGCCATTTTCCTCCTTTAAAAATTAAATTCAGAGTATTTTTATAACAAGGCTACATACATGCCTGACTAGGTGATCAGCCATAAAAATATTTCAGAAAACAAAAAATGTTCAATTTAATTATATAAAAAAAGACCAAATCAGAAGATTAACGGCTTTACTGACACCTTTACTTCCTTTCCACCCCCCTCCCGCCCCCACGTAATTACACACTGTGAACCTATTGCCTTGATCATTTTAAAGGCTGTGCAGTACTCCAGCGCACACTGATAGAACAATTTGTTGGCCTGAAAGTTACTGGTAATTAGTTAGGCTGCTTCCAACTCTTTCCTGTGATGTACATTCTGTCACATGCATAGTTGCATAAATCAGTGATTGCTTTTTAAGGCAAAGCACACATCTATGTAGTTTTGAAAAGTTAAATTTCTGCAAGCATATCATAAAAAGTAGCAATCTACCCTTCCCCATCCGCAACCACTTCCAACTTTTTAAAAAGTCTAGGAACATACACATCATTTTGTACCACCTATGTGGTAAGATATATAATTTACCATGTTAGCCATTTTTACACATAGAATTCAGTGGCATTAAGTACATTCACATGGTTGTCCAACCACCACCACCACCATCTCCAGAACTTGAACATGTTCCCAAACTTACGCTCCGTGCCCATCAGACAGTAATTCCCCCTTCCGCCTTTACCCCCAGCCCCTGGCAACCATCGTTCTGTTTTCTGCTTCTATGAATTTAACTACCTTAGGAACCTCATGTAAGTGGAACTGTACAATATTTGTCCCTTTGTGACTGTCTGATCTCATTGAACATACTGTCTTCGAGGTACATCCATGTTGTAGCATGAGTCAGAACTACTTATTTTATGAGGCTCAGTAATATTCCATTGTGTGGATATGCCATGTTTTGCTTTCCCACTCTTCCATGACAGACACTTGGGCTGCTCCCCCATTAGCTGCTGTGCGTGATGCTGTTCTGAACATGCATATGTGTGTCAGTTTGAGTCCCTGCTTTCAATTCTTCTAGGTTTATGCCCAGCACTTGCAACTCCTGTAGCTGTTTTTGTTGTTAGGTTTTTTCTTTCAGTCATTTGCCTCCAAATTTCTAAATAACATGGATATACTGGCATTTCTTATTTTTTTTACCTCTAGCTATATTACTGCATTCCTACTATGCAAAGCCAAGTCTTAATTCTGGCACACCTCTCCTAAATGGGCACATACTTCCCCTTCCTTCAATATTCAGTATTTAAATTGGACTCAGTAAAAATTATTTGCAACCCAGTGCCATATAACATGTTGTTATTACATTTCCCTTCCTTTACATTGTTTGATTTTTTCCCCTGAATTTATAACTGCCACACTTTCTATCAGCTTGCTTTCTATCTACTTACCACTAATTAATCCCCAAATTCTCCACTAGAAAAATGCAAACATTCAAACACAAGTTTACATTTTTCTTTGGAGACATCTCTCATGGAATAGGATAGCCAGGTAAAGTATAAGACATCCAGGAATGTCTGGATTTCGGGTAAACAACAAGTACAGGCCTTTCGATCTCCTGATCCGTCACGAATGGCTGCTCTCTGGGCCTGCCCACGTCCCCCAAGACCCTTCCTGACCGGCTCCCCTTTCACCACATGACACTGGACCCCTACCGCCAGCTCTGGCCGTCACTTCCTAGCCTTCCTCCCCCCTCTATTTTTCTTCATAGCAACGGTCATGTCCTGCTGTACTAAAATATTTATGGCTGGCCTCTTATTAGTGAGCTCCATGGGCAGGGCATTGCTTCATTCATGGCTCTATGCCCATCCCTGATGGCACAAAGCACGCGGCAGGTACTCAGCACTTGTGGGAGGAATAAATTCCGGAGATACTTCTTTTGTTTACTCCCTTTCTTGGGGGTGGGGGGCGCCAGCACATGCTCTTAGCTTCCTGAGAAACGGCAACCTGGGAGGTACATTTTTTGAGATCCTACCTCTCTGACATCTTCATTTTACCATATTTGATTTATAGCTCGGCGAGCCCCAGAATGTTAAGGGCTTTGCTCCATTGTCTTCTGGTTTACTGTGTTACTGTTGAGAAATTTAATACTATTCTGATTCCTAATTCTTTGTCTATGACCCATACTACTTTCCCTAACACTTTTTCAGATGTGCTTTTTGTCACGTGTGTTCTGAAAACTGACCGTGATGTGCCTTGGCCTAGGTTTTTTTCACCCACTGCACTGGGCACTCTGCAGGGCTATCGGTCTGGGAAGCTGTGTCCTTGAACCCCACAACTGTGATGGCTCCTCTGGTAATCTTCTCGTCTTTTCTGCTGTCTCTCTGGAGCTCCTATTATTTGGGTGATGACTTTATAAAATGACATTCTAATTTTTTTGTCCTATTTAGGTCTTTTTAAAAAAACTTTATAGGAGATTTTCCCAACTTTATCTTCCAACCATTCTACTAAATTCTGTTTCTATTAATTTATTCAAGAACCTCTTTTCCTTCCTCTTTGAATGTTCCTTTGTTACAGCCTCCTGTCCCTTTTTCGTAGGGGGAGTATTTACTCATTTCTCTCCTGAGATTAGCAATTATATTTGAGTTTGGGGCTAAAGACTTATTTTTTTCCTCTGAATAATCTTTTCTGCTGTATTTTTGTCTTCAAAACTCTTCTTAGCACTCTATGCATTTTAGAAAGGAAGTACTATTAAAGAGCTAATGGTTTCAACCAGTGGTGCTAAGAAAGCTAAGTAAACACATGTGGGGAAATGTCCTGGCTTATCTTATGATATACACTAAAATTCAAGAGTGGCCATTTACCTAGATGTAAAAAGCTTTTAGAAAAGAAATAGTATTTTTCATGACCTTGGAGTAGACAAAGCTTTCTTAGAGAGTACACAAAATAACACTCACTATAAAAGAAAAATAATTGATAAACTAAATTTCTTTAAAATTTAAAGTTTCTGCTCATGAAAAGATACCACTAACATAATGAAAAGATATGCCACAGGCTGTGGGTAAATATCAGCTTTTATATGTATATATGAATGAATGCATGCCAAATGATGAAGAACTTGTGTTCAGAATATACAGTATAATGAACTCCTACAAATCAATAAAACAACGTAATTTTTTAAACAAAAACTTCAAAGAGATATGACATAATATTTATATAATATTTACTTCTCTTAATATTTAAGAGAAGATATGCAAACGCCATAGACACGAAAATGTGCCCATCATTAATCTTCAGGAAAATGCAAGTTAGCACCACAATGAAATAATATTTCATGCTCTCTAGAACAGCAAAAATCAAAAAGACTGAAAACACCAAATACTGGTGAGGATACAAAATTACTAGAATGCCTACACATTACTGATAGAAGTGTGAAATGGTGTAACTACTTTGGAAAACTGACAAATTCTAATGAAGTTAAAATTCACTTACGCTATGGCTCAACAACTCTATTCCCAGGCATTTATCCAAGAAAAATGAAAACATACATCCAACACAAAAGACATATAAGAATGTTCCTAACAGTTTTATTCATAATGGCCAAATCTGCATAAAACCCAAATAGCCATCAACAAAAGAATGGAAAACAAACTGAGGCATGTTCATTCAATGGTGTACCACTCGGCAATGAAAAAGAACTGACACATACAACAACATGGATGATTCTCAAAAGCATAATGTGAGTGGAAGAAGCCAGACACCAAAATCACACAAACTGTAAGATTACCTTTACCTTAAGTTCAAGAACAAGCAAAACTAACCTCTAAAGACAACAACAGAGGTCAGGAAGACTGACTAGAAGGAGGCAAGAATGGACTTCTGGGGGAAGAGAAATGACTTATATCCCAGTTGGAATACTGGTTATACGGGTGCATACCTTTGTCAACTCTCAGATGTTCTTACGATCTGCATGTTTCACTGTGTGTAAAAGAGAAGAAGCTACCTGGGAACTCTGAGTGGGGCTTTGTTAACTGGTGGGTTCACCAGTTGCCAGTATCAGTGGATCTACTTCTTGGCCAGACTGCCAGTGTTTTAGAAGCCAAGCAGAAGCAGCAGCATTCACTACGTACACTAACACTTAATGCTTTTCAGTACGACACCTGTCTCCCTCACTGGGCTCAGTGTTCCCAAGCCCACGATCTCAAGTTTGACCTCTCAAAAAATTAAACCTCCTGGCTGGTGTAGCTCGGTGGATTCAGCGTAGGCTGAGAACCAAAGCATTACAGGTTCGATTCCCAGTCAGGGCACATGGCTGGGTTGCAGGCCACGGCCCCCAGCAACCGCACATTGATGTTTCTCTCTCTCTTTCTCCTTCCCTTCCCTCTCTAAAAATAAATAAATAAAATCTTTTAAAAAATTAAACCTCTAGTTTTCTGCATGTGTTAAGGCAGGAATTTGGAAATCAATTCATTTCTTAAATAGATCTTTAATCAATCCTCTTTCAGTGCTACCTCCACTCTCATATTCAGAGGGTCCTTCAAAAAAAAACTGGTTGATTTATGTATTTTTAGAGAGAGAGAGGAAGGGAGGGAGAAAGAGAGGGAGAGAAACATCAATGTGTGTTTAACTCCTGAGTGCCCCCTACTGGGGACCTGGCCTGCAACCCAGGCATGTGCCCTGACTGGGAATCAAAATGACAACTCTCTGGTTCACAGGCCAATGCTCAATCCACTGAGCCACACCAGCCAGGGTGAAGATGTCTTTTAATTCTTTTACTGCATCATTCTGGTACCAAGAGGTAACAATGGTAAGCATTCATGTTTAATCTACCAAGTTTAATTGGAATACTCTTTGTTTATTTAATTAAAGTGAAGCTGCTAAGTCAAGGTATATGCCACTTAGAAAGCATAAACTAATCTATTCCTACCATCAGGGAGAGAGCAGGGAATTTTATTTTTGCCAATTTGATAAATGATCATATGAAATCATAAATTATTTGACAAAATGTGGTTGAATACTTTTTCACATTTTGAGACTATTTTTATTGGGTTAGCTATTTTTTTTTTCTTTAGTGAACCTGTATGTTTTCTTCACACATTTTTCTACTGGCCATTTAACTGCCTCCTGTACTGCCTACCCTTCAATTAAAACAAAATACTACGTTGACTATTTTTGTCTACTTATTCTTTCAGGTACATTTTACCACTTAAAATTTATAATATTAATTTGAAGTTGACATATTTCAGAAATGACCCTCCCATTTATCCAAATATTTTTACTTTCCAAAGTAGAGAGTTATAGTTTTTCATATAGACCCACAACCTTCTCATTGAGTTTCTTCTTAGTCTGGGCTGTTACCATATAATTTGAGATCTATATATTTATACATTTACATATATAAGGTTATATGTGTCTTTTGATTTAAAATCTATATGCAATTACTAACACTCTTTAAAATTAAAAACTTTTTACTCTCTGTGAACACATATTGAGAATCACATACACTGTTCTACCACAGGATGTCAAACCCAGCATTTCAGTAGTTACCGGGTGCATTCTGCTTGCCAGCCCCCCAAAGCAGACCTAATCCGAGTTGTCAAATTCCCTGTTAGCCTCCGTCCCTCCACTTAATGTCCTTTCAGTTCAAGCTAGACACTAATAGAACCACCTTCTTGAATAATTACTTTAATTAAAACCTGCTTTCTTTAATACCTAAAATAGCTCCTAATTGATAAATTAAAACACGTAATTTAAAATTCTGTGGGCTTTTATCAGAGGGCATTTGCCCAACAAACTTGTTCTAACATTTTCAACTGAGAGGTTCTCCTTGCCCCACCCCATTAGCATATTCCCTCTTTCCAACCCAGCTTCACCTGGCTCTACTCACCTCACATTTCCTCTCCTTTTCTAATTACTAAAAAGCAAGTATTCATCTCTGCATAGATGAAATGAACTTGATCTGAAAGTTTTGTTTATCCTGTATTTTTAATATTTGGAGTAACCTGGTAACTTTACTTCCTTATTACTTCATTATGATACAACCCTCTACATTTCTCTCTAGGACTCGAAGAAACTGGGAACCTGAGATTGTTTCTAAGACTTAGGTCATTCTGGTTTTTTTGTCTTTAAGTGCATAAGAGCTTTCAGATGTTTGTAATGTGGTGGTAGATGTATTTGCTTCTCAAGGCACAGAGTAACCAAGAATTTAGATGACAGTTTCTACTCTTACCTCTATTGCTCGAATTACTTTAGAAAGTTCTTTAATGAGATGTCCAGGTCTAACGTTGTCTGGAATTTCAAAGGCATGTTCGGATACAAGCTGTATGTGGATTAACAAAGACAAAATAACCAAAGTTACTTACACTTAATATGTAAAAAAAAAAACTAATTTATTAAGCCAATTTGGGGGTTCTCCAGATTTTATAGACACAGCTAAATACTAATAAGCCAAGTCTCAGAGGACACATAGCTCATGTGATACCTTCTAAGGAGATCCTCATTCAGTAATTTATACAATTCTCTTGGATTGAGTTCAAGAAGAACTTGTCACACAGTGAATTTTGCTTTCCATTGAGTAGTACTCTAGACCTCAGCTACTATAGTTAGTAAAGTAACTAATTAAGACTAACATTTCATTCACAATGCTAACACTTAATTCATAATATAGAAGGATTTGAAAGTAGCAACACGGGCACTGAAATAATCCTAGTCCACGGGCACAAGAAATGTGCGGCGGAAGCATAAAGGAAGGACATATTACTTCCAAAGGGAGGTCTGGGATGACCTCTGGGAGGAAGTGGGGCTCAAATGCAAACAATCAGACCCCATTTTAGTGAAAAGGGAGAGCTTCCGCTTGAACCTTAACCTCCTTTTTTTCATCATTACAGAAGTCTAGCAGAGGGGTAAGAGCACGGGCACTGCAACTGCAGAGACCTGCGTGTGCATCCTGGCTCCGCCAGGCATCTGGGGAAAGCATCCAAGCTCCTGGAACCGCGGCTTCCCCACGTGTGGAATGGGGATAACGGCAGCACCCGGACCTCCGGTCGGCGCTGTGAGGATGAGCTTGGTGGTGGAGGCCGAGACTAAGCACGGCAGTTAGCCGCTATGAGAGTCAGTTACTCCACATCAACACGTTCATTTCTTAGTCAGTATTCTAGATATACTTGAGTTACTTTCTCTTCCAGCTTAAAGAGATACTGAAGCACTGCATCCTCATAGAAACACAAACCAGTACATTTGTATAGACTGTATAATAAACTGCGTGTTGTAGTTAAAGCATAATTTCTATTCCCTCTACTGCAGCTCCTCCTGCCACGTAACTTGAAGATTCATTTTCCTGGTCTTGCCATAAGAAAAATAACAATTATTTCACCGAGCGAACCACTTACTTCCTTCTTCATCCACAACTTTAAAGCAGTGTGCAGTGCTTTCACGCCCTGTACCAGGTAAGTCTGAGGCTGGAAACCGTCTTCTCTCAGCTCTGTGGGCGGGGGAGAGGTGCAGAAAGGGGTTAAGTGCTCTGAAGACAAAGGCATTAACTTCAGATTTTGAGAACCATCACATACAAAACTGCATCACTTCCAAATTAACAGGAAGGGGAAAAAGTGAATAAATAATTGAAAAGGCAAAAAAGAAAAAAAACCCCGAATTACATTATACGTGATCGCGCTAAATGCTCAAGTTAGAAGAGCGCTCCCAAGCACGACGCTGAGTGAGAGACAGGTCGCAGACGACGGCAGCATGGAGCTCCTCTTCACACGTGTCCACACATGGACAAAACTGCGCCACTTCCATCTGTGACACGGGCGGTGCAGCGGCAGAGGAGGATTATCACGGAAGGCGGGACGGGTTCTCTCTCGAAGGGAAGGAGGAGGCGCCGTGGGAGAACTAAGAGGTGTGACGAGGGTACTGGCGAGGCTGCTTCTGCTCCCTGGGGGCAGAGGTGTTCTGGGTGACAGCCCTGTGATTCTTTACACTGCACAGGAGTGCGTGCGTGTGATCTATACAGCTGACTGCGGGCACACGAGATCTCACCAGCGTAAAGGTAAACACACACACTCCCCCACAAATGTCTCTTTCCAAATTAATTATCTAAAACTCATTTAAAATATATTAGACGTGGCCTCCAACTCAGGCCAGCTGAAGCAGAAGTGAAAGATTTCGCTTTTGCCCTGGGGCTACTCTACTTACATAAAGCCCAGGCTGGTTCACTGTCTTATTATTACTGACACTAAATTCAGTTAAGAATGTCATACAAGCCGCCCTTGTTTCATCTATCAGATAAGCTTGTAATGGCCTGAGAGATGGCAAACAACAGGCCACAAGGAGAAGCTAGAAGCTCGGGGATGAAAGGACAACCTAACACGAGACCACCACTCCTGACTCCGGGAAGAATGCCTAGGACCACGGCCCTGGTATGGCGGTCCTCAGTGCTGTCCTCAGTGGGACTGGACGGACACACTCGTATTGCCAGGTGTCCTGTACTGATCTGGCCGATGAAATAAAAAACACTTTAAAACCGACCTGCAAATATCCTTTTACAGTAATCTTTTTTTTTTTTTCACTTTAATGTATAGGGTTGTTTTCAATCAGACCTCCATTGGTCCTGAACTCTCAGTGGCCTCACACAAAGGCTAAATCACTCTAAGACTAAGCAACCTGCTGCTTGTGACTGCAGGAAGAACAGCCAGGTTTCGTCTTTCAGATAAATTCTTTATTTGTTCTAAAAAGCTGACTGATGAGCCCCTCTCAGACATCAGGGGGAAAGCCTCACCCCCGAGGTGTCTGTGTGTGTGTGTGTGTTGTTGGGAAAAGATGGTGAAAGTGCTCTGAACTTAGAGTACTGAACCGCCCACCTCTGATCTGCACGGTTCAGTCACTGGGTTTCATTTCCAGGAAACAAGAACATTTGTAGGTGTTTTTGTGAGTATTTAAAAGTGTTCCTATTTCCCTAGGCTTCCAGTTGGACAGGAGACTGTGCACTTCACAGTCCAGAATCTCACTGGAAACTACAGATGGCAGCTCTATGGTCCGCTGTGACATTCCTGCAGCCATGAAGAGCTCCTGAAAGCACTGAACGCGTCAGGGACCGGGGATAAGGACCCATTTCTGGAGCGGACACTGCTCTTGTGCGGAGCGCTCCTGCTCTTGCTCCTCCATGGCTTCCCACCTCCACCACAGACACCCGCACCGCGGACAAGACCTCTCCCACTGCGCTGTGGTGCAGGTGCGGGATGGGGTTATTATTCTTTCCTTCCAAACAGAGTGAACCTCCCCCCTTTTTTTGAGCAAAGAAACCATAAGTTTTATCATTTAATTCTGTGCATAGTAGTCTGGGAAGTAAGTTATTGGCTGTTTCTTTTCATTTGGCCTTTACTTTTTTGTACAGTTTTTTAAAAGATTTTTTTAAATTTATTGAGGGAGTGGGGGGATACTGGGTGGAGGAGGGGCAAAGGGGTAAAATTGGGACAACTGTAATAGCATAATCAAATATAACTTTAAAAAAGATTTTATTCATTTATTTTTAGAGAGGGGGCAAGGGTGAGAAAGAGAGGAGAGAAGCATCGATGTGAGAGAGAAACATTGATCATAAGTGCCCCCTGACTGCAGACCAATCCCACAACCTAAGCATGTGCCCTGACCGGGAATCAAACCAGTGACATTTTGCTTTGTGGGACGACACCCAACCAACTGAGCCACACTGGTCAGGGCTTCCTGTGCAACTTTTACATGGAAAATGAAACAAATGTTTGAAATAGACTTTATGTTTAACGTGTTTATATCTGTTTCTCCTGGGAGTTAATTATAATAGTAGCACCATTTGCAAACAGAGCGGACAAGTTAGACAACACAAAACCAGAAACTGTGTTCTCACGGACACAAATGCATGAGAAGCCAAAACGAACAAACAAAATATGGATAAAAGAAGTGATAACCCAGTTTCTAACTTAACTGCTCACAGGTTATTAACCCAAAGGTGAAATATGAACCCTGAAATTCTACATAGAAAAGGTAGCTTTCCAGTTTAAATAACGGGATAACAAACACCCAAACACACACTGTTCCTCACCCGCAGACAGAGCCGGGGACTCAGCTGGTCTGCACAAACATGCGCCTCTTGCTGGCCGGCGTAGCGGCACTACAGTAATGGCACAGACACCGCCTGGTTCTCTCAGGACATGGAAACTATATCCTTGATTCTAAGAGCAAATATTTGGGAATGCATGTTACATAACAGTCTCTTGGCTCAAGCTGCCCTTTTGCAAGTAAGGCTCTTTTGCGTGCCTGACAGTGCGTGCAAGCTACTGGAGTGCCAGGTGAGACTAACGTTTTTCAACATCACCAGTTCTGATCCAGCTCTTCGTGGATCTGGCTTTTTAAGATTGTGGTTTAGAAACTCTAATTTGCTAAAAAAGGTTCTTAGCAGAGGAAATCATGCATTTAAAAAACCAAATAGCCCTAGGTGGGTAGCTCAGCTGGCTGGAGCGTCATCCTGACACACCAAGGTTGTGGGTCCGGTCCCCAGTCAGAGCATAAACAAGAAGCAACCAATGATGCCTGAAGGAGCGGAACAGCGAGTCAATGTTTCTCTCTCCCTCAAATCAACCCACAAATAAGTAAAACAGAGGCAGCAGCAGCACCATACGAGGGTCTCTCTTTCCATTGGTGGCTTTTAGTGAATTTACAAACGCCATGCATCGTATCACACAATAAAATGGACAGATTATTAATTACCTTTCAAGGTTTCCAGCAAGTTTTTGGCTACAAACCAACATATGGCTTCAAAGAAAGGGAATTTGAAAAGATCTGGTGTTTTTAGCCTTTTTTCCATCTCATAACACCTATAAAATATAATTTGAAGAAATTTAATAATGATATTAGCATTTCAAAATTAAATGAAAGCCACCAACTTAAGGAAAATAAAATAAGCAGGCAACACGTCAGACCAATCAAGTGCTGCATGTTTCTTACTATGGCATTTGGATAAGACTAAATTGTGATCTTATCCAGGTCTGACCTTAACAAATTTGACAGTACACTGAAGAATTACACTGGCCTTCAAAAAGATCACACGTTGGAATTTTTATGCTAGTCTTAACAGAAGGAATCTCACAAGGGTTCTGCTATAAAAAAAAAAAATAAGACAACACGTTTACGAGTCAATTCCACGTGTTGGACAGCACTGCAACACCACTCAGGTTTTCTTTAGTCTCTACTAAGCATTCAAGCTCAAAACCACACGCGGCGCTGGTCACGGGGCAGGGACAGGAACCAGAGGCTGCCACAGTGTTCGCCTGCTGTGGGCGGGAGTCCTCACGGCAGCCTACACGCTAGGAGCCTCCTTTCCTCTGGGGATAGCTCAGGTACAAAGAAGCAAGATTCACACTGAGCAGTGTGGGAGCTTGCTTGGCTCAAAGCTTCTTGTAATAACTCTACAGACGCATCGCATCCAGGGTTCTCCATGGGCAAGCCAAGCTACAAGAGTCACCACACTCAGGAAAGCCCAACTACTACAGTGCATGGCTCCCTACTAAGTACTTCTAGTTCTCCCAGTCCCGACATGGCTTATCAACCAGGAGTCACTGTGCCACAAGCAGGCCTACCAGGGGCACAGAGTCACCTGAAGGTCAAAGCCTCACACAGAAAGGGAAAGAGCTGTTAACCCTTTCTCCGCAGTGAAGTTAAAGGGGGTGGTCTGACCGCCACCCCAACCCAGGGCAGCGGCACTGTGCCCAGCACCGCATGTCACACCTGAGTCTGGCTGGATTGCGTTCATGTCCCTCACTGTAAAAGCCACCAAGGGGCAGCCCATCTATTTTTATAAAGTTTTGAAATCTGGGGGAACATTTAGTCTCAAACTGCAAAAAGTATTATTTTTTTTAATTTCAGATTTAAAATGCATCAAGGTGTCCTCTTGTCAAAATTTTAAAACACTACTTTTGTTAAAAGTTCCTATTCTTATAATTCCTCAGGGCCTATCTCCATGAGATCTCAATCAAAATATGTTGCTGACTTTAGTTTTCCGAGACTCTGAAACAACGTCCTGACTAAGAAAGGACAAAAGACCCTTTAAGCACTGATGCCACGAACCTGAGCTGCATGCCGATGTTAAGGTTATGCAGGAAGTTCCCCCCGAAGGCCATACAGTCCTGAGAAGTGAGCACAGCATGAATCCACCCTGAAATGGGTAAAAGGAGATAAATCAGTGACTTCTCAGTATTTAAACCAAACAAATGTCTATCTACCTGTGAAATAAGAAACTGAAAAATACCAACATGAGTTTACGTCATACTCCAGCGGCAGGAAAGTTGATGTCTGTAAAATCTACGGATTCATTCATCCAAATATTTATTGAAGGCTTATTATGCACCAGTTCTGAGCCGACTTGGAGGAAACAAACGCGTTGGCTTAAAATCACAGTACAAGACAGGGAAGGTTTCTGCAAAGGTGCAGTTGTGGCTGTTTTCGTTTTTTGAAAATCCAACTTCATATTAAGGATTTTTACTCCGAACCGAGTCAGGCCTGGTTAGAATGGGGCAGGCGCATGTCCACGAGGGGAACGCTGAGCCGGGCAAGCACTTCGCTCCCCTGGCTTCTGGGACGGGTGCCCCCCGGGACTGCGCAGAGGAGGACCCCGGGGCTCAGCCGGATGCCCGTCCCTAGCGAGGGGAAGGGGGGCAACCCACAGCTCCTTGTGAAGGGTTTTGCTTCTATAAATGCAAATGCTGGCAATCAAAATCATGTCTTATTTTCCCATGAAAATATTTTCAAAGTGAAAAACATCTCTTCTAAGAGATGTTGCCTAGCTTTTGAAAGAAATGTCCACAGACTAAACATAGACTTTCTGTAAGCATAAATAAATATAAACAAATACATTTGAATGTAAAAATTAGCTGTTAAAAAGATCCCACTTTCTTCATTTTTATCATCTTCTCATCCCTCGCTGTGCTATGACATAGTATCAAAAGACTGACTTTCCAGCTGTGCCCATTTGTGTGCTCAAAGGCACAAAGCCTTGAGCTTGACCCTGAAATCACCAATGAGAAGTCTGTCATCTACAACTCCCATAGACCGGTGGTTCTCACAGAGGCCATACTGCCTGTATTGGGACACTTTGGGGGGCTTCTTTCCATTGTCACAATGATCAGAGGGCACCATTGCCATTTCATGAGTGGAAGCCAGGAGTACAAAAAGCAAGACAATGCCACACAGTAAGAAATTGCCCTGCATGACTGAGGATTTACGAATTTCTGCAGGGCATTCATTTAGTATAAAACCTGCCAAGAACTGTCTGAGCCTAGAAACTATAACTTCATTATACATGCAAGCAAAGTAATTTTTGCATGGTTTGGGCATAATTTTCCGGGAATACAACTACTCTGCCAATTGAAGGAAACTGCACTTCAATTTGTGTGGAACTTTATCAGTGGCCAACTAGCTTGGGGAAACACTGCAATGCCTATAGTGGTGGTTCTCCGAGTCTCCAGACCAGCAGCAGCAGCAGCAGCACCAGCAGCATCAGTAAGGAACTTGTTAGAATGTAAATGGTCAGGAACTTGTTAGAATGCAAATTCTCAGGCCTCATCCCAGACCCACTGAATCGTAACTGCTGGGCATGAGAACCAGCAATCGGTGTTTTATTACACCCTCCAGGAGACTGTGATGCTCGAGGAAGTTTGAGAACTACTAATCGACACCAACGCTACAGAATTTGAGTTGCCAATCGAATACCTGTGTTCGTTTTCTGCCTTATGCCTCTATTTCGCTTTGTCATCTAAGGCTGCTGTGCCTGAGCAGACACATTTTGAAATAGTGTTTTATTATAAATTACTTTTTAATCTCTTCTTTATATGCTAGTTAGGTCATTATACATTTTTTGTAATTATTGGTGTAGGAGGTTATAACATCAGTAAACATGAATTCAAGGCTCTTAAGAGGGCATAACTAATCATTTGTTATAAAAGGGAACACTGGGAAGAAGATTTAAGGATGGAGCTGAGTCCATTCACAATGAAAACACTGATACTTATCTACATTCATAAATTCTGGTGGTTCCAGGCATCTCTTAAAAGCATATTTATTTATCATTATATGCACCGGAGGCACAGCAAGAGAGCAGGGCCTGTGGGAACGAACCCTTGCCAACTCTGCAGCCTTTAGGGTTGCCCACACCAGACTAACGGTCCTCGCACCCGGGGCCTGGAGGGTCCTGTGTCCCATCACGTCTCAGAGTGACACCCCTGACACCTATGCTTCCTCAGGCCCCTCAAACACACTCCCCTCTGTCACAGGACAACAGCCCAGATTCTTGCTGCTGGCTTGGCCTTTCATGGCAAGTAAAAGTTGAAGGGAACTCCATCAAAATTTTTAAATTTTGTGCAAAGGGTATTATCAAGAAAGTAAAAACATAACCCACAGGGTGGAAGAAAATATTTGCAAATTATAAATGTGTCTGATAAGGGTCTAGTACACAGAGTATATAGAGAGTGGTTGCAACTCAACAATTAAAAGACAAATAACCCAACTTAAAAATGGGCGAAGGATTTCAACAGACATCTCTCCAAAGAGGTATTAAAATGGCCAATAAGCATAAGAAAAATGCTTAGCATCATTAATCACTAAGGAAGTGCAAAGCAGCACCACAGTGAGACACTACTAAATGGCAAAAATAAAAAAAAGATGATGACCGTGTCGGTGAGGATGTGGAGAAACAGAACGCACCGCACACTGCTGGAGGGATGTAAGATGCCGCAGCTGTTTGGAGAACAGTTCGGCAGGTCCTCAAAGCTAAATGTCAATTCAACCACACGGTTCAACAACTCCATACCAGGTACATAACCGAGGAAAATGGAATACTTCCACAGGAGAACTTTTACACACATGTTCAAAGAGTAGTCAAAAGGTGGAAGCAACCCAAATGCCCGTCAACTAATGAATGGGTAAGGGAAACGTCGTGTGTCTGTACAGTGAAAGGTTAATTGGCCATAGAAAGTAATGAGTACAGATACGCATTACAGTAAGGATGAGCCTAGGAAACACAATGTTAACTGTGGTTGAAGGCTGGATTAAAAAGGCACACATGCACGCACGCACGCGCGTGCACATACACACACACAATGTCACACACAATGTCCAGAGTGGGCGAAGCCACAGAGACTGGAGGCACATTAGTGGCTGCTGGGGGCTTGAAGACAGGGATGGAGACCTGACTGCCAACTGACATGGGGCTTCTTTTTAAGGCGATGAAACCAGAATCAGATGGTGGTGAGGTTGCACCAGCTTGTTCATCTACTAAAAACCTGTGCACCTTAAAAGGGTGAATATTATAGTATGTGAAACTTTATCTGAACAAAAATCAACATGAAGGCACAGGACATAAAACAGCAAAAGAAAACACGTCTGGACTGGAAGGAAAGCCTCTGAAGGACAAAGGAGTGAAAAGCCCACGATCTCAGGCTGCGCAGAGCTGCCTCCCAAACACGTGCAAGCTGCAGTTTCTAATGAGAAGCTGACCCCGTGTGACTGAGGCTCAGCAACGGAGAGCGGGGGAGTGAGCAAGCCTTACCTGTGGGGACGAATAAGGTGTGTCCCTGCTTTACCACACATTTGTAGCACTTGTCCACCTTATCTCCGAAGAACACCTCGCTCTGGGTCACAGATGAACTCCACGATTCATAGAGTGCCAAGTTTTCATCTGTCGGCTTTATCAAATAAAAAATCTTCTCACCCTGAAAGAAAATAATCACACTGTTTGTGAAAAGAAAAAGCCATTCTTAGGATGGCCTACATTGATGCATTTTCCCAATAAAATGACCTAAATAAGATGATTATCACATTTTTTTAGGCTCAAAAAGACATATTTCACGTACCTGATCAATAACTATTGCCCTTAACAAGCATCTTTCTTCACAGGAGCTAAGGCTCCCTCCCTTCCCAAATACAATAAGGCACCAATCAAGTGGCATCGGAGAAACAGTTACAAGAGAGAGGGGGCAAAATCACAAACAGCTACTGATCTCATTTTCAAGGTCTGGAGTAAACGCATGTTAACAGGCCCCAGGTTACAGAGTCATCTCTGCAAAGGTTGCCCTTTCTCCTAAGAGCCATACTATAATGACTCCTTTTAAAGACCTGCAAATCAGCTTCCTTTAATAAACCAACCCTTGGCTCTCTCTCGTGGAGAAAAGAAACAGGAGGTCAAAGACGCAGTGCCATACACAGTACAGAGCACTGCCGACGAACAGGCATTTAACACAGACGAGGATGTGGTTCTAGATCAGCAGTGTCCGACGGACACCCTATGACGACGGAAGTGTTTCCTATCTGTGCTGTCCAGCACAGCAGTCCGAAGCCACATGTGGGTACTGAGCACTTGAAATGTGGTTAGTGCAAATGAGGAACTGAATTTTAAATTATATTTAATTTTAATTATTTAAAATTTAGCCACACGTGGCTAGTGGCTACTGTTTGAATGGCACAGTTCTAGACGAAGCAAGGTGAATATAAGCTGCCAAGAAGAATCGGTATTTTTACCTTCCTGACTGATAAGCTACCCAACTAGCTGTCCCAGCCTAATCTTAAGGTCAGGAGCAATGATTATCACTGTGATTTCGCTCCTTCTCAGGTACTGATCCAGGGATTAAGTGAAAACTGAACAGCGGGGAGAGACAAAAGGCTACAAGAGACCAGCTTATAAAATCATGGCAAAGAAAGGGGGGGGATCTAAACACAGATTAAGAACTAATAACTCCTCTGTTACTTGGGATTAAAACATCATAATGCTTACCAGTAACATGGTAGGTCCTACTTAAAAAAGTACAAAAGCTTCCCTCTTTGTAAATGTCATTTGCATGAATGCATCCCTGCAAATGTAGAACTATGTGTTTTTGTCAATAGGGGAAGAAAGAAATACCCCATCTTACCCAGAGGACATGGTACCAAACCGAAGTTCCACCAAAGTCAATGTGGAAATCTGTGTAGCTGTCTTGCACTCCCATTAAGCAGTACTTCTGAACAAACGGCTTGGGAAAGACTGAGTCATCTGGCCAATAATTTTCCACCCAGGAAAGTTTTCTGGCTATGTCGGGGACCTCCACCAATTCAGACATCCTTTAAAAAAAAACAAACACACACACACACATGCACACACACGTGACACAAATTAAAACTTCTTTTTTTTAATTAAAATTTCTTAAAACTGCATTTTCCATCCCAACCCAGACCAAGAAATTAAACGGAACTCAAGGTTAACAATGATACTTGAAGTTGAAAACTCACAGTATTCCTAAATACTCTCTGAGCATGCCAAAACAAAATTTACAACACTGCTACCACTGGGCCACTTAAGAAGTCGCAATTATGTTTCTTACTGAAGTAAATTTATCATTTAACTACGTTTAGCTAACACTCAGAAGACTAACCCAAAATGTCCAGAGCTACTCACTTTGTATCTGAAAATTCAAGGCTGATCACGTTTAACACTTTTGGTCTGTTGGGATTCATGAAGTATTTAACGTAATTGTGAAGGGTCATTTTGCTGTCTGCCTGCCTTGCCACATCAATGACATCTATCACTTTGTCACCACCTGCAGAGAAAAATCACAGTCTCATTATTGGGCTTAAACGTTACAGCAATAGATGCCCTAAACAAAAACACATAGCCTAGATGAAGTTTTTCCTGTGCCTTTAATTTTTAAGACCAAATGGAACTTTTGAAAAGGGGGATGGTTTTTGAAGGAAACAAAGCAATTGAGACAGAGCTGCATAATTAACAATGATTGTAAAAACTTACGCATTTACAAGCTTTTTACATATCAATGATTTCTTGTGTGCGGCTCATAATGACAAAAAAAGCATTACACTGGTATGTGGAAACTGCCACAGGGTCTGGGCTTCCGTTTCCTCATGCATAAAATGAGGGGCTGCCTTCTCCCCTTTCGCTTCTGTAACACAATGATTCTAAATCGGTCCTTCTGAAAAACCCATCAGTCACTGGGGAACAAGGGAACTAGGACAAACAATTTGTTTGTCTGCTAGTGTATTCTCTTCTAATGTTCTGCTTCAAGAAAAAAATTGGTGGATAGGAAGCAAAAATCAGTTCACATTAGTGTCTGTTGGGATTCAGTTACAAGTGTCCTGTAAAACCAAGAGGTGCTGCTTACACACCGCTACACTGTCACCCCAGGGAGAAGCATAATCAGCTTCACAATGTCCTGCAGGACAAGACAGAATTCAAAATATAGAAATCATCAGTCTGAAGGAGAAAACAAATAAATGACTTTCTCATTTTAATGTCATTTTATGTAAGCTAAAAAAGATGATCTAGTAGAATTTATTCCATACTTAGGAGGCAAGGCAATTCTGTTAACTGCAGGGCTTCGCACTACTAAAAAGTTAAATGCGAATAGTTTGAAGATTTTTTCCCCTGTACTTACATTACACTCTAGTCATTTTACAGCACTATCTAGGCAAACTATTTTAGGTTAAAACTCAGCCTCGTCCCCTAATTTATCAAATACTCAAAATTATCCGAATTTCCTGTGAAACGGTTGTCAGTGAGAACTGTCGGAGCAAAGGCTCAACACAGGACAAGCTCTCCGAGTTCACGCTCCGGGACAACGTGCTGTAACCGACGCACAGTTTGAGTCAAGGTAGATCTGAGACCTAATCCTCAAATAAGCTCTATCTACTGCTGACAAGGAGTGACACCTACATGTGCTCAGCTTTTTCTATAAATACCACAAAGAGAATAAATAAAATAACTAAAAATGTCAACAGTATTGCAATAGAGGAACAACACCCCCCTTGTTGCTTATGCCTTCCTTTCTAGGCCTTAAAATAACAAATTCGGTCCAGATAGCACTAAACGGCAGTATCAGCAAGCCATAAATACAAAAAGAGGTTTAAAAATATCTCTCCTTTTGCATGGCCATTCTCTCGGCAGCAGGTCACTAAAGCAGGGTGCAGAAATCTTGCACCTGAACCTCCACGGGGCTGGGCCCAACCCAGTTCCCCACTGCCTTTCCCCAGTGTCTGCAACTACCCCTCAGTGACAGCTTTTCCTAAGCAAGCACCAGAAAATAGGACGACCAAAAAAAAAAAAGCAGCAGGGTGAGTCTGAAGATATAAGAATAGGCAAAATGTTTCATTCTGGTTTTTTGTTTTTTTTTTCCCCCACAATTGCAGGTCTGCTGAGAAAAAAAAAAAGCTTTTTCAACACAGGCAATATTCAACTTCACCTTTCCTGACCCAGGAAACTGAACGAAATTAACCTCTTTCCACTTTTAATATTGTTAGGGCAACTTTTATCATGCTTTCCAAAGTTCGTACCTACATGACGTTCCACATCGAGAACAGAGAAAGTGGGTGCAGGGAGCCTGAGTCCTAGGTCGTCTAACTTGGGGACCATAATCGGGACTTCGAATCCGTGCTTCTCCAGATACCTCTGCGTCAGCTGGCTGCCATGCATCTTCACGACAATTTCATCGGCACTAAGGAAAACGGAGGAGGAAGACGTCAGCTCTGCTAAGTTCAGTGAAAGAAGTCTCTGGTAATGGGTTAATCCATACACTATATTATTATCTAATAATGGTGGTTCTCAACCTGTCATAACTAATTCTCCTTTTTAGAACCAATGTTTTTTTAATAAAGCCCCTTTTAATGTAAATTTCATAATTACTCCAATACATATCACTGATTATATATTACATATATTATATAAAATGCCTTAACAATAACAAGAGGAAGAAACAAATCAGTTTCTAGTAAAATATGTATTTCAATATATAAATGTTCACATAAACTACACTAGAAGAGACAATAGAATAATAGGATGCTTACAGTTAGGTGCAATGAGTAGTTGGATTTAAGAAAATTAACAAGACCAGAAGCCACTCAACACTTCCAGGAGGAACAAAACGGGAGACAAACTAAGCACGCAGCCCAGAGGGGCGGCTACGTGAATGTGCGCGCACACACCGCTGCAGGCCACTCGGCCGCTGGGGAGGGACACAAATGTCTGCACACACGTGGATGGGCACCCCCGAGTGTAACAGAGTGAAAAACCAAGTTGCATGACATATGCATAACATTACCCTTTTTATCCTTTAAAACTTAGATGCATATGTCTATCCATACACCTCTAACATATAAGTGTTTTAAATGTTGTTATTTATGTAGAAAAGGGTCTCAAAAGACACTAAGTCTTAAAACAGAGGACAAGGAAGATGGCCTGTTGGCTTTATTTTGTACACTTCTGTGTCCATCACATCAAGTATGTGTACTTTAGTTAATAAATGATGTGAAGGTTATGGAGTTAAACAAATAAAACCAAAGACCTTTACCTAACGGTAATTACCGTTTGGACACTTGTGACCCTCTCTATAACCTGCTCTCACTGTGTCTAGTGCGGCAGAGAACCCCAGGAATCCCAGGCCAGGAGTTTTAACACTGCCCTTCGGGTCACAAACCTATGTGAAAAAAATGAAAGCTACAGCTTCTTTCCCTAACAAACAAAAAAAGCACATTCCCACATCGACACCAAGTTGTTTATACAATTGTAGGGGACGCGCAAGCCTCTCTGAGGCCGGCACACAGCCCCACGCTGCCAGCTCTGGCCCTGGGCTCCAAGCAAAGCAAGGAAAACAAACGCATTTCTCCAATGACTTTGAAACTGATAAAGGAAACTACTTGGGAATAGGGCCTTTAATATCGTGAAAATCACATGGAAACCACTATTCACAATGTTTTCTTTCTCTCCGTAGACCTGAGGGAGCCAACAGTAGCTACTTGCACTGCATGTTTCTGTTTAAGGATGGAGGAGGGAGATAGGAATCCTAGAGACTGTTAAGAAATAGCAAAGATTTATAGGATCTGAAATAGTTCCATAATAGGTTGCATGTGTGTGATTTAAATGTAAAGTGCGCTTCCTTTCTTTAACAAGCCAGGATATGATTTTGTGTGAAAGCTTATTAAGCATCATCACTTTAAACAGACATCCGGCATTGAGTAGAAAATTATCTCTAGCATGATTAAATGCTGTGAAACAGGGTGTCAAACTCATTTTCACCAGGGGCCACATCAGCCTGGCAGTTGCCTTCAAAGGGCCGAAATAATTTTAGGACTGTATAAATGTAACCACTCCTTAACTGTTAAGGAGCTGAAATTACATTTGGCCCTTTGAAAACAACCGAGAGGCTGATGTGGCCCCCGGTGAAAACGACTTTGACACCCCCGCTGTATAATGCTTTTGACTCTCTTGGAGCCACAGGTGACTCAAACACTCTGCATTACCTTTACAGAATCAGAAAGCCCAGTCCTGCTGCCCCAGGGAGGCTGAGCAATGGGTATGGGCACTTCTGGTGGGCCTGGAGCAGAGGCAGACGTGGAAAGGAAGAAAAACACGAGAGTCTGAAAACGGGAATAGGTGAGGGGGAAGAGCTGCTGTGCTGAGGAACCCAGCACTTGGGACAACTGCCTGAAAGTCTGCATTTCAAGCTTGCGTGGACTGGGACCCACAGGTAAGAATGGATCTGACCCAGTGGCCCAGCACACGTACATGTAACGAAGTCCCTGAGCGTTCTACGCTGTTAGTCCTCTGACGTGCGATGCACCGGCATTTTCTATTTCGTTCTGTTTTAAGAAGTAAAAACTTGACTGAGAAGAATCATGGCTTGTACCCTGACATTTAAAAACGCTGCTTTATTTAGATAATGTCAGTTTATCAGCTGACGTTCTTGAATTTTCTTTGGCCAGAACAGGCCCGCATACCTTGGGAAGACTCGAGAACGCAATTCCTTCACGAAGGTTCTGGTCCCAGCCTGCACCGGCTTGGAACCGTCATCGACTTCCGTGTAGTCGTGCCTGTGCCAGTTCCTCCTCTTCTTCACTGCGTTTCCAGGGGGGGAAAGAAACATTTTGGTACCTACTGATGCTATGTACTTTCTAATTGTTGCATAATCAGACATAACAATTATTAAGCACAATAAAAACACTCACATTTTAAATGCATTTCTAGGCTGAAGAAGTAAACTTTATAGAACACAGCTACTATAGGCAATTAACTGGGGATTTTTTTTTAATCTACTCTTTTATTTGACAGTAATTTTAAAATTAAATTGAGGAACTCAAATTAGCAGACAGAGCCTTTTATAAGATCCACATTTACACATCCTATAAAATCTAACAATTATTTAAAATTATGATTTTCACTAGGATGTGAGGTCATAACTTTTATGGATCGTCCAAATCATTCTCTCGGAATAGGGCCTTGCTCCCACATCGGAAATCTATTTTCAACAGCACGGGTCCTTTCTCTTTGTGTGAAATTCATTCCCCTAACAAGCACGGTGACAGTGACAGAAAGAAGAGCGGGTGACTGCCTCACAGTTAAAGAAAGACGAGCGGCCCCACAGAACCAACGGCTTCGTCGTGACTCCTACCGCACAGCCCCAGGAGGCTGCGATCTCGAATGGTCACAGCGATCAAGCAGGAGACGTGACCGACCCCTGGTCCGGCCGCCACGCTCTCTGCCACCTTGGGCAGGTAGGTCACGTAACCCACCTGGCGCCAGTTTCCTCAGTGTGCAGGTGAAGGGGATGAGCGCTGGTTTTCCAGCTGGGCTGAGGGACCCTTAATAACGGGGACGATGGGGAAGAGGCGGAGGGAGGAGCTCCGGACCGCATTCCTCTTCCCACCAGGCTGGCACCACCCACATGTCTTCTGTGTAGCACCAAAGTAAGGTTTCAGTTTTATTAATACATATATATTTTTAAAGTTTGAAAAGCACCGTTAAGCCTAGAACCTCCACAATTCTGGGTAATGTACTGATGCCTGCAACTTACTTAGAATGCATCAAAACATCAGATGAACAGATAGTGAGACAGTTACATGGACAGACATGTGGTAAAGCAGATAACATCAAATGTCAACAGCAGTCTCTCTCAACTTCTCCTGTACGTTTGAAGATTCTCCTAACAAAATGTTGGGTGGAGGACACACCCCATGAGTCTTCAAACCTTCACCTTACAAAGATGATAATAATATAATAATGCTGATCCCTAACACGGATAAGGAGAAGTCACAGTAAGTTATGAACAGGGGTGGAAATCAGACTTAATTTATATCCAAGAGTCTAAAACAAGATTCCCAAGTAGTTTATAGCAGTCAGACCCTCAATGTGGCCGACAGCAAGTTCCATTTTTGAAAAACCGAGAATCAGAAAGCAACTTTAGTAGAAAATCCCATCAAGGCAGCCTTTGAGTGTGTGTGTTTTCCCTCATTTAAAATCACTACTAAAATTCAAGAGTATTTAATTCCAGCCTTTTCTCCTCACACATACATATATAGACACATACCCCCATTTTATTTTCAGCTGGGATCATAATGTTTATTCTGCTTATCCTTCTTATTATGAGCATTTTCTCCTCATTAAATATTCAAAAGCCACTTAAGGCAGCTTACAATTATTTTAAGATATAGATGTAGATGCATCATATTATAATCATTTTTTTATTCTTAAGCATTTAGTTCATCCCGAATCTTTCTTCAAAGTTGAGATTAACATTCATATACATAAATCTGCTTCCACCATTAGCTCCTTGGGATGAATTCCTAGAAATGCCAGAAGAAAGACTAAATTTTAAAGACACTTGCTACATATCGCAAAGCTGCCTTCAGAAAAGTGGTAGGCAACTCACATTCCTACCAGTGTACAAGGTGGGCCCCCAAAAATCCAGAATTTATTTACTAAAACGTCGTGTATTCATTCTTGCACGTTTAACCTTCAACTTCAAAGCACTCTCCATGTGATGCAATACACCTACTGGGACTTTTCCACCCCTCAAAACATTTTTTGAATTCATCAATTTCGATGCTTTTTTGTGCTTCTGCCATTTTTTTGTTTCACCACCACTTCTACATGGGCAAAAGGCTTCCCTTTGAGGAATTTTTTTTCATCTGGGGAAACAAAAGAAAGTCTCGGGGGACGAGATCTGGTGAACAGGGAGGGTGGTGGACGGGGGTCATGCTATTTTTTATCAAAAACTGCTGAACACTCAGTGTAGTGGGGGCAGATGTACTCAAAAATTACCCATCTTGAAATGGGCAAGCCCAAGAATCTTCAAAAAAAAAATTCACTGAAGCCAAATGCAGCCTCTCACAACACCACCAGCCAGCACACTGATACAGGTGGATTCCTAGAACACTCTCCTAGCAGGCGAAGCCTGTACTATAAGGGGCCCACCCTCCACCTGCCCTGGAAGATAATTCCAGGGCTTTTTTGGTTCCTCCCTCCCTTACATAAACAGCCTATTGCAAAGCCCTGGGTCAACAGTGAGCATCATTAATGGAAAGAAAAGGAAAGGCTGCTCGTTTGATAAATAATTATGCCATGACATTCATTTCTGCTGAACAGATTAGAATCAGAGCAGAGTGGGACTGAACAGCTACAGGTTTGAACTCTAGCTCTGCCACATAGCTACATGAAAGAGTTCTTAGACCATTTTTCTCATATCATGCTGCTATAAATATCAAAGGAGAAAACACAGGTCAAGTACTTACTTAGCACAGTGCCTGGCACTCAATAAGCTGCCGATTATTAAGGTTTCCTTTTAAGCATTCTGACTTGCAGGATGCTAACTAACAGAGGGCTACCACCGTCCTTTTGGGCCAACGTGTTTGACACAAAAATAGTCAGCCACTACAAGAGCTAGCTTAATTTCTTAGAGGAAGGAAGCCAATGAAGAAACATTTCAATAGTGTTCACAGAGAAAGGAGAGCAAATTTTGAATCTGAATCTTGCACATGCATGAAGAGCACAAGTGGTAAACTGTTCTTGGATGCCTGTTCTCAAATAGAGTTCTTAATTTCCGTAAGAGTGTCAAGTCCATGTGCACTGTATCAAGTGTGTATTACACTACTGAGATGGAATCTGTAACAGTAAGGAGTCCTGGGGAATTCCAAAAGGGACAGAAAGCCCTGTGTGGCAAGCAAGAAAGGCTTACTAGCAGAGGGAAAGGGACCGAGGGGATTACCCAAGTTGGGGTAGAGGGTGAGGAGTGGGGATGGAGAGCCTTAAATGAAGATGGAAGAGATTACTGGAGCTTGGCCCTCTTCCCTGCGGGTGCTCAAAGGTGGACTTCCACCCAGCAGACAGCCAATGCCTGATCGTCTGTCACTCAAGGACGAGAAGCACGCGAAGGGCCAGGTGGTGCCGCCTTCTCTGTGATGCGTCGTTATTCAGAGTGCAGGCCACGACCCGTCAGATTGTGAAATCGATTTAGTAACCACTGACAAGCTTTTTAAAAAATTAAATCATATAAGGAAAAAACAGAGTATATCACCTGTAGCAGCGTCTTAAATACATTATTCTGCCTCAGAGTAACCCACTTAATAGTCCATGAAAATTAAGTTTAAATTCTTTCATTCGGGGTTTATATGCTCAAATTCTAAACTAAAACTATTATCAATTTTAGTTCTGCTTTTCTTCTTCAGGTAACAATCCAGTATTATTTACTTCCTTCAAGAATTATACCCAGCCCTGGTTGGTGTAGCTCAGTGGACTGAGTGCCAGCCTGTGAACCAAAGGGTCACCAGTTTGATTCCCAGTCAGGGCACGTGCCTGGATTGCAGGCCAGGTCCCCAGTAGGGGGCGTGTGAGAGGCAACCACACACTGATGTTTCTCTCCCTCTCTCTCTTCCTTCCCCTCTCCCTAAAAATAAGTAAACATCTTAAAAAAAAGAATTATACTCAGTCAATAATTATATCAAGTGACATACTACCTACTTCAGTGCTACACAAAATAAAAAACCTTTAAAAGTATTTATGACAAGAAATTAGCCAGTTATACATGTAACAATTCTACTAACCTGCTAACCTCAAATTTTATAGCGGCAAAACAGATAATCTGTACATTACATGGAAATATTTTAATGCATTCATATAAATTTCTAAATCTCTTATAAAGTTGGTAAATTAACATTTCTAACAAAACATATGAGCAGTCAGTTGCCACTAAGTCTCTTAAAAAATTACTTGCCCATGACCTCAGAACAAGATTTCTATTTTTAAAAAAGTACCACAAAAAATGCTACATTCAAAATAAAGAGGTTTTATGTATGGGTTACCTATATCTGACCCAAGTGTTTATTAAGGCATATTCAGGAAAAGGTTCCTTTCTCTTCTAAAACAATTAAATTTCAAGTTTTTCCCTTTAGTTTAGTAGACACAAAAACTCTAGTTTCAGTCTAAATTTTAAAGAAAAAAAGTAGTTGTAACATATTCCAAAGCTTTTAAAATCTCATCTCTCACAGTTGTACAATAATTATTATTTCAAGCTATTCTTCTGAAGCCTTTGTAAGGACCTAAAAGTAAGTGTCATCTTGTATGTGCCGCCGGCTCCTTCCCAAAGACGAGAGCACCTCCCGCCTGGGCTGCCCCGGCCCAGGAGGGAGAGAGCACGGAGCCCTGGGCCAGGCCCTCCTCACCCTCCCTCTGGGTGGGACTGGCTGCCGGCAGGGAGGACGGCTGGGGTGGGACCCCAGATCCCACTCAACACGATGACCGAATTTGGGAAACAGAAGTTTTATTTTGGTGTATCAGTGCCCTAATTTTCTCCTAAAAATACAATGCATGTGTATGCATTCGAATAAGTCTTACTCTGTACACTATCACAAAGTATTACTGAAAGATCTTTTTAAAAATGTATAAAAATAAAACCCGTTAAAATCAGTTTCCAGATTCAGAAAAATTTTACCATGCCACACCTCTCAAACTGAAAGCTTTGAAAATATGTACTTGAGTTTGGGGGCTTTGCACTGGGAATCAAGAATAATAGTATTTTCCCTTAAATTAATATTTTCAATGCCATAATATGACATTCTCAGTATCTTCAGAAATATCTTTCCTACAGCCCCGGGTGGGTATGATACAACTAATCGCAGTATCATTTGAAGTATTACCATGTGCACATTGAGTACTGAACTTCAGTTCTCCTTGGATCATCTAGTACTTACTCAAGGAGGAGCCATGCAGAACGGCACAGTTGGGACAGTGATACAGGTCAATGTCGACAGCATGATGTTCTTCTACTCCAACACAGCTAAGGTAAAAAAAAAAACAAAAAAAAAAAACACAAAACAGGGCCAGTGTGAAAACAAATTTAAAATCTTTACTTAACTATGTTACATTGGTTGGCATTTACCTGAGAAATGCACACCAACCTCACCAACAAACTTTGTAGGGCACAGAAACACACGCAAGGATAAATTTTATTCTCCTCCCTACGCACTTGTGAAACAGCTGTGGGGGAGAACACACCCAAATACACGGGGAGTGAGTCGCTGTCAGAAACAGCAGAGACACACTCGTAAGAGCGATGCAACTACAAGCCATGAGAACCTCAACCAGTATGTAAATGCCACCTGTCATAAAGCTAATGTTTGTGTCCCCCCCAAAATACACACGCTGAAGCTGCAAACCACCAGTGTGGCTGCGTTTATTTGGAGATTAAGACCTCTAAGGAAGTAATTAAGGTTAAAGGAGGTCATGGAGGGGGGGCCTGATCCCACAGGATTAGTGTCCCTGTAAGACGAGACACCAAAGCGTGCTCGCACGCTCTTGCTCTCTCGCTCTCTGCGAGCACACCAAGAGGAAAGCCCACATGAGCACACGGCAAGAAGGGAGCTGTCCACAAGCCAGGAAGAGAGCCCTCCCCAGAAACCGACGCCGGTGGACCTTGGTCTGGAGCATCCAGCCTCCGGAACTGTGAGAAAAGAAATTTCAGTTGTTTAGGTGTCCTAGTCTTGATAGTATTTTTGTATTTTGTTATGGCAGCCCAAAACAACTAAGACACAAACTTACTTTGAAGTGTGGCTAAAGGTATTTACTATACTATAAAGTATAGTGAAGTCATCAGCTAGAGGCGGGCAGTGAGTGTGCATAACATCACTGAGTCCTAACAGTTCCGCTTCAGGTCTCGGAGCCCTCATTAATCAGTTCAATTAGTTTGAGGCACTGTACTTGGAATATCCCATCCCATGGAGTATATGGCAGTAGAGCTTAAATAAAAATAAAGCTCGAGTGAACCAACCAGGGACTGAAAAAACTCTATCAATGACATCTTAAAAATAGGAGTAATTTACTTTAAAAAGACCCTAGCTGTTTTGCTACAACCCAAGTAATTTACTAGGGTAAAATTTTATAAGTGTTCGTACTTGCAAAAAGTTATAAAACAAAAACTCAACCAGAACTTGTACTTGAAAAAGAAACAAAGCAAAACTAACATAGAATTGAGGAAGTGTTTATAGACAACCCAAAACAGAGTTCGCTTGCAGCTAACCCACAGTGAAGGAAATACCAAAAGATGTACTTCTTACAGGAGAAAAATGACCATAAAGAGGTCTGGGATGCAAGAAAAAAGGAAAAGAAAAAGCTAAGAAAAGTAACACATATGTGAGTAGATGTACATGAACACGAACTACATGAACAAGATAATGTCCTGTGAGACGATATGTAAAGGTCTAGAACACAGGACGACAGAAACATCTGAGTCAGAAGAGGACAACAGAGTCACAGGGTCCTAAGATGCTTGTGCTGGCAGGAGAGGGAAGGTTGATTAACATTAGATTTCAATAAGAAGTTGAGGATGCCTATTAGAATTTCCTGGGAACCCACTAACAGAACAGAAACAGAGTGTAACTACTAAACTAGTAGCAGAGAAAAGGAAAAAAGGTTAATTCAAAATAAAGGGAAGAGGAAAAAACAGAAAAAAATTTCTACCTCCAAAACAAAATGGAGGTAGAATTTTTTTTAAAGGTTTTATTTATTTTTAGAGAAAGCAAAAGGGCATGAGAAACATCGATGTGCAAGACAAACATCGATCAGTTGCCCTTGCACACCCAGAACTGGGGATCAGGCCCACAACCCAGGCACATGTTCTGAGGGAGAATCGAACCGGCGACATTTAGGTCTGTGGGGTGACACTCAACCCACTGAGCTACACTAGTTAGGGCGAGTAGAAATTTTAAAATATCTTTAATTACATTATATGCAAATGGACTAAAAGCTCCAGTTAAAAGACATTATCCAGTTGCCTTAATATAATTTACCAGTTATAAGAGAGATGCATAAAACAAGGACATAAAAAGATTAAAAGCAAAAGGATGGGCAAATCAATACCATGAAAACTGTAATCAAAAGAAGGTATAGCTATATTAATATTAAGCCACATAGAATCCAAAGCAAAACATATAATGAAATAAGTGTGTTCACTGATAATGGTAAAAATTTCGATTCATCGGGAGAATGTAATAGGAACACCTGTACTGGGAGATTTGACAACTCTCTTGGTATCTGATAGAACAAACAGGCAAAGCAAAAATCTATGAAATATACAAGTTTCAAACTACAGGATTAAAAAACATGACCTATGTTGAGAGAATTGGACTGACAGATGCAAAAAAAGTGAAACTAGACCACCAACGTACACCACATGTAAGAATAAACTCAAAATGGATTAAAGACTTAAATGTAAGTCATGAAGCCATAAAAATCCTAGAAGAAAACATAGGCAGTAAAATTTCAGACATTTTTCATAGCAGTATTTTTGCCAATATACTTCCTCGGGCAAAGAAAACAAAGGAAAAAATAAACAAATGGCAGTAAGCCAAAGTAGTACAAAGCTTTTGCACAGCAAAAGAAACAATCAACAAAATGGAAAGGGAACCCATTGAAGGGGAGAATATATTTGCCAATGAAACATCTGATAAGGGGTTCATTTCCAAAATATATAAAGAACTTATACAACTCAACACCAAGAAGACAGACAATCCAATTAAAACATGGGCAAAGGACCTGAAGAGACACTTCTCCAAACAGGACAAACAGATGCTGAACGTCATTAGCCATCGGAGAGATGCAGATTAAAACCACAGCAAGATATCACCGCACACCTGTCAGAACGGCCACCATCAATAAATCAACAAACAAGTGCTGGCGAGAGTGTGGAGAAAAAGCAACTCCAGTGCACTGGTGGTGGAACTCGGGCTCAGGCAGCCACTGTGGGAAACAGCATGCGTTTTCCTCAACTGCCTTTTGACCCAGTGATCCCACTGCTGGGAATATATCAGGAGAAATCCAAAACACTAATTCAAAAGAATATAAGCACCCCTATGTTAACTGCAGCATTATTTATAATAACCAAGATCTGGAAGCAGCCCAAGTGTCCATCAGTAGATGAGGGGATAAAAAAAAAATTGTGATACATTTACACAATGGAATACTACTTGGCCGTAAAAAATAAAAAGGAAATCTTATCCTTTGAGACAGCATGGATGGCCCTGGAGAGTATTATGCTGAGTGAAATAAACCAGTCAGGGAAAGACAAATACCATAGGATCTCATTTACATATAGACTCTAATGAACAAAATAAACTGACAAACAAAACAGAAACAAAGGCATAAATACATGGGACAGACGGACAGCTGTCAGAGGGGAGAGGAGTTTGGGGGGACTGAGTGAAAGAAGGTAAGAGATTAATCCAAAACAAAAACCCCACGTATGTCTATAACACAGACAACAGCGTGGCGACAGCAGAGGGAAAGGGGGTGAGGCAGGTGGAGGTGGGCGAAGGGAAGATAAATGGGGACCTGGCACCGGGCAACGGGTGCCTGATGCAGCGTGCAGGGGGTGTTTGGTGGGGCCGTACAGTTGTACACCTGAAACCTGTATCGTTTTGTGATCAGATGTCGTCCCAATAAATTTAATTTTTTAAAAAATGACCCAATGAACATTTATAGAATATTATACCCACCATGCATTTGGACCCTCGTAACACACCATATACAAAAATTAACTCAAATGGATCATATATCTAAATGTAAGAGCTAAAACTATAAAACTCCTCAAATAAAGCGTAGGAGTAAGTCTCCATATTCCTGAATCAGAAAATGGTTTCTCAGATCCTACACCAAAAGCAGAAGGGACAAAAAAAAAAAAAGATAAACTGGGCGTCACGCCGCAGTCCCGAAGGCTTCCGTTTCCACAGCTTAGTTTGGTGTAAGACAATCAGCTGAGTTTGGAGAGTGGCAGAAAGGTGTGAGGAAAGAGTGGACAGAACGGTTGGTCTGAAGAAAGGAAAGGCCAAGAAACACAATAATGCCGCTGGGCAGTGCTGCGAGGCCCTGAGGTCGGTGATAATGCAGTCCAGGGGAAACCGTTTCTGCACGGCTGGGCGGTGGTTTTGTTTCCCAGCAATGGGCAACCACGTGGTGCAGACCCAGAGGAGACCGGGTCCGTCCATGGAAAAGGCTAGAAAGGGACTTGAGACTATTTTACAAGGGAGTTAATATAACGACACACCGTGAAATCTAAGCGGGACAAAGGGGCACGAAGCCCGAAGAGGGAGTGAGAAGATGGCGAGATGGTCTGCGGGGTCTCGGCGTGCCCCTAGCACTGACGCAGTGGGGCCCTGGAGCGCGCGATCAGTAAGGGGTGGAGATCGTGCTCAAAGATGCAACGTTCAGAGGTTAAAATTTCTGAGGCGGTGGAGTCTGAAACCAGGACGAACACGAGGGTAATAATGGCAGGTGGCTACGGTGCAGCAAAGAAAACATCCACTGGAGGTAAGTGAGAAGGCGTGTGAGAGGCATCGCTACATTCAGTGACCTGGAGTTACACCGAACTGTCCTGACTTTGAACGTGAGGTTCATTTGGTGTCAGCGACAGGTGCCGCACTCAGACCAGAACTGACACTCGGGGCCACAGAGGCCAATGTGACCCTTCTTCTAGACACCATGGTCTGTCTTGTCCTACCTCAACTGTGACTAGGGTCCTCATCCTTAAAAAGGGATGGCTACACCGAGAGAATCCAGTGAGAAAATACTGTTAGATGTGTCCCGGAAAATCTAAACCAGCATGTATCACAAACTCACCCATGAGTACCTAAGATACGTAAGTAAGGGTGACTTATGGAAGAAAGAGAGGATACGGACATTCCAATCAACTGAAGACGCTTGGGGAAAACCTTAGCTAAGAATCCTCAAAAAAGATCTACGGATCCCCTCTCCAGCTTCTAACTCCTCACCCCACCCTCGCCCCGG